TTTTTTTTACTTTTTCATCTGAGCTGAGTGCAAGGACAAAACCTCACTGTCTGTGAACTAAAGTGCAGTGCATAGAAGTAGTCTGGAAGTTTGCATAGATTTCACTGAAACAATGTATGTACATTGTACTTGTACTTGTGTAGGATGTAATTTCACTTCCCGGGATTGATAGAGCATGCCTTGCCATGTTGGCTGCTTCCTTGTTCATGTTGTTTAATTTGCCCAGACAGAGCAAGGCAAGTGGTTAGGCCCTATGTACCACTCAAGGATACAACACAAGGGTTGCAACTGGATTCAAACTACTAACTAATTTAATCTGCGCCAAGAGGAACGAAAGAGGGCGTGTTTTTTTTGCGGTACTCACCACATAGGCACACCATCAAGGGTGCAAGTATATGCATGTTTGACGTGGATCACCCTGAGTACTCGTAACTAATTTATTCCGGCACGTATGGTCTTTGCTACATGCAGAACGCGTGCAAGAACCCGCTTGTAACCACCTGTCTTTCTTTTTGCCAATTGGGGTAGCACTTCAGCTCGGGACAGATATCATGAGTCACTTTTGCCCAGTGCAGTTGGTGTGGTTAACAGAATGGGCATTTTGAAAACTTCATTGGCAATTGGTTATTGCAAAAGTTGGGACAGAGGCATCAAGGGGTCTAGTTATGCTGTTAATGTAATGTTATCAGTCTTTGCTGAGACATCAACGACACGTAGACTTGTGTGTTGCTGCTTGTTGCAGTAAAGTAATTTTTACATAGCCAGACAGAAGGTGTTGATCAGATTTTTTAAAAGTTGTGAAATGCCGTGTGAAAAAAAGCTTGAAGCCAAATTTTAAATATTAGATAATTTTGTTTTGTTTTTGGCTAAGAAAGCTTTTAAAGGGATTAGTACAATCAATGTGGATAGTTTTCGTGATCATGGAGACAAACATTTGGAAAGATAGTGTAAAGGAGCGATAGTTAACGTTCTTAAGGTGGCGTGGCTGTCTTGTAGTGTCACTTAGTTGTTGCTGAGTCGTCTTGCCCTCTGTTAATTGGCCTTGTGCTCCTTGGTACCAGGGTAGCCCAGATGAGTCGCTCCCTCTCTGGAGGAAGTGAATTAGCGATCTTGTGCAGATCTGTTTTCTAAGCTGTCTCTGACACATCAAAATATCAATTACTGTCGGCAGTTTGAGACTGAGTTGACATGTTAATAATGCGGAACATGCCTCGAAATATCCTTTATTTTTAGTTCCTTCTTCATTTTGTGCTACCCTTGATGGCCCAGATAATGTGAGTAATTCTTTTCCTTGATGAATTTAAGATTTTTTCATAAAGAAATAAATATTACTCCATTTGCAGCCTGCTTTGGGATTTTTCCTCAGAACTTAGTAGATTCTGATCAAATTGGTGCTCATCATCAAAATTACTTCCTCTTATTTGACAAAGCACGAAGTTTGCATTTTTCAATTGAGTTGCGCACGCCACTTATAAATGTTCTTGTTCTTTGTGACTGAGGCAAAAACTCAAGTCGCCAAATTTGGGATTCATTGCCATTCAGTGGACTTTTCTTTTATTAAGGGCCTCGGGCAGAAGACACCGGGGGTGCAGGCTACCAGTTACATCATGTACGTATTACTGCAAAGGTTGGTGCATTCTTTGAGCATTGGCCATTTCTTGTAGGCCTTCTCAAGGAAATGTTCACATGGCAAAAGTTGCTTGCAATGAGCAGAAAGACCCTTTTAAGGTATCATTTAATATTAACTAGCTATGACTGGTCCTCAGCCAGGTCTTGCTGAACATTTAAATCAAATGCAGTATTTAGTTCTGTTCATGCGGACCCAGATGTCAGACGATTACTTTGATCCAGTTTCAACCCCCTTATTCAAATAGAACTATTGATCCCTTATAATCCCCAGCCCTCAGTGAAGTTCTTTATCTTTATCAAAATATGATATGGTCTCTTGTTGGATTTTATTACATGTACATGTATGTGAGATTTTAAGGCACTGCTTTTTTCTGTTTTTAGTGAGGAGGCAATATTGCCTTGTTCGCACATGTCTTATGTTCACATTAAGTGCAAGGCTTATTTTAAGGACCCTTATTTTTAGACTTTGTCTAGACACATTTTCCAAGATACATGGCTGAGAGTGTGGTACACTTTCAGCCATCTTTGTGGTAAAGTGGATCGGAAAGGTGATTAGCCAAAGTTAGCTCTAGCCATGTTTCTAGAAATAAGTGAATGACTCAAACCGTCCAAAGTGGCATTGTGTTTCGTTTCTTTATGCTAAATGATTTTTGATCTTGAAAAATGTGAACTTTTTATATGTATGTTTAGGTTTGGACTGACAGTTGGGTCAAACAAGTCAGCAAGAATGTATTTCTGTTCTAAGTCTTGGCGAATTAGATCAGATTGCATTAGATTGCAATCAGTAAGTTAATATTTGATTCAGCTGTATCACATTTACTAGATTAGGTTGGATTATGATTAGTGTGAATGAGATTGGATCAGACACTGAAGATTGTACTTCATAGATCTGATGGTCATTATTGACCATGACATTAATATTGTAATAACCGCTTTGGCTAATGAAACAGTTAGCACATTACCGGTACTGAGCCATATTTATTAGAAGAGGTTATGCCAATTTTGAGGGTGAAAATAAGATTGCATTTTTCTAAGAGTGTGGTCAAGTGCTAAAGATATCTGCACCAATAAGGAAAAGGTTGTAGATTTGAGTCCTACCTGAGTGAGCTTGTGATCTGAGACACCCAGAGAAAGCACTGAGTTTTTAGAGCTTTTCAAGTTACATTGGTGACAGGGCAGACCCAATTTTAAAACCTAGATTCTCTCAACAGAATCTTTCATTTGGTCAGGAGAAGTGAGCACACACTCTACAGCTTCATTTGACAGCTGCATGTGTATCTTTGTACATCTCTTCATCATCGTTGCATTGGTCTACACTAATACCTGGTTGTCATCTGGCAGGGAGCAGGACTATCACACCTTAGCACAGAAATATTTACGTGAATGTCACTGACCCGTCTTCAGTTTCATCTCTTTCTTTTTTCACTCTGTTTTCTCCCATGGTCCATCATGTTTCTCTGGTATTGCCCCACTTAACTTGACAGAGATGAAGTGGAAATCAGCAGAGCCTCTTATAATTACATGAGGTACCTTTGGAGATTTATGATGGCCATGTTTATTTTTTTCGTTCCGGTGGTCCTCATGGCAGTGATGTTGCACCTGTATTTCAACACCCGAGACAGATGGGAGACCACAGCCAGGATGCCCCTGCTGCACAGATATGACGCAGATTGAGGAGATTGGGGACAGAGTCTTGACGAGTCTTGCGAGGCTCGTAAAGTTTGAATTGGTTATTTTGGGGAGTCTCAAATCAGATGTGGAATGATGTTGTGTTTTTGTCTTTCATTGGGTTGAAGGCAGTGTGTCCTCATTTTCTGAATTTCCGACGCTGACACTAACGTCTCTGCAATGCATCAGATGTCATCACAAGTGCTTTTAAAGATGCAGACTACTCACAGTTATACAGAAACTCGTGAAAGTGGATTTTTTTGCTTCTTTACTTGAGTTCTCAATCAAATGTTCTTGATCATGGTGAATATGAGGAATTTGTAGTGCTCCTCTGTATTTTTCTTAACTTAAAGCATGTTATACATACTATAATCAGAATTGTAAAGAAGTAATATTTTGTGTATTTCAACATAATGCAACTTTGACATAATTGTTGTGGCAAGACCAGCAAGCAGGCAAAAGATTCAAATCAAAGAAACAACCTATGTAAGATCAGAACTAAACGGCATTTTGGCACCATCTCTGATCTCAACTGTTAACATTTCTCCCCTTTACACATTCTGCCTTTTTCCCAGCAAAAATTTCATGACAAAATTCAGTGTTGGCTTGAGACACCCGTACTCATGTAGACTGGACATTTTTGTACTGATAATCAGGTTTTTTTTTGTGGAAGGGTATCGTATCCCAACTCTGATGTTGCACTCTTCTGATTATGATGCACAAAGCTTGCTGATAATAGCGTAATGTTGCATCCACTGTAGGTTGTCCATTAATCATGATTGGGCATACAGAACCAAAATATCATTATCAAAGGAATGCACGGCCATATCAGAGCATTCAGGAACTGTAGTTTTTGTTCAAGAACGGACTAATTTTATGAATCAATTTACAATTGCAAAGCTCAATTTTATTGATTCAATTTCATGTATTACAGAAGTAACAATTGACAATCTTGATATCAATGTAGCATGCAAATAGATCCAGAGAGGTGGGGGTTGTTAGTTTGTATTCATTTTCCCACGCCCTGGCCAGCTTGGCCCATTACAGTTTCATCCTTCAAGAGGTCACATGTTTTTATAAGTAGTCAGTTTTGCTCCTCTGAAAATTGAATGAAACATGTACCAAAACAGTTCCCCTTAATGGTAGTTGATAATTATTGTTGATTGAAAAAATACTTGGAATTACAGGTGCACAGTTAACAAAAACTACAGTTCACCTGCACTGTGAACAATTTCAACCTGAATGATTTCCATGAATGTTGTGTTTCCTTTTGTGAGAACTACATACATGTACATATCACCCTAACCCCCAAAATCATTAAAATCTAATGTTCAGCAAGAGAGAAACATTGTGTCCACACACAATCTTCCTTTACCTGCTCTTTGTTGACCTGTGTGAATGTGCGTGGACCTCTTTTGTATGGAGGGAAATTCCTTCTCATCTGTTACTTTTAAGGGAAGCCTTAACATTCCACCACGTTCAATTTATTTATGCTTTGTTTAAAGTGTTGAAAACAAACTATTTGTCTTGTTTAAATGTTTAACTAAAACCCACAACAGTTTATGGCAGGGCAAAGGATGGGCCTGACACATTGCCTTATCTGCCATAAAAGTTGCCCATAGACAAGGTCACAGTATTTAACACCCAAATATGACAACATTTTCATGTTAAGTCTTTGTTGTTTTTGTTTCCAATCCTTGCAGATCTACTGAGGCTTGGTACCAGTAGCTACTCATTTTCGGAAGACAAATCACCATTGTTGTCTCTTTTTGTGTTGGGAAAAATTCACTCTTCAGTTGATATCATTTACATCTGGAATATCTGACAAGCTATCGATGTGTAGGAACAAGCAAAACGACTTGGCTTATTTATTTATCAGGAGCGGACAGTATCAAAAATAACTCACAGGAGCCATGGTGGCCGAATGCTACACTTTAGAGCGAGCCTTTGTGGTGTAGACTCGCTGGCGTCCTAGTGCAAAACTCCCCAGGCCAACGTGGCAGGGAGTGTGACATTTTGCCTACGGGGTCTGAAGCAGCAGGCGATAATTTGAAAATGATATGCCAGTGTGGGATGCTCCTTGGATGACATTGGGTGACAACTAGAGGTCATCGAGTCACAACTGTCCAGGGTTATCACTTGGAAGACTGGGTCTCTGCTCTGTTTAATGAAGGGAAGGCAGTGGACTAGTTGATTGTGGATTCGGGTATGTGGCAAGTTTCAAGGAGTGCCGATCTGCATCTGAATTAACAAGAAGTGGTTGCATTGATACAGATTGACCCCTTTTTGTTCTCTCTTTTGAGACCATTCTTTGAGAAAGTTTAAGGCTTAAACCATCAAGGTCTAGTCATGATGTGCATTCCAGTTAAATGGCTTCCTTGTGGATAGCAGCTTGTACGGGTCATTTTCAGCAGGTACATTAGCTGGATAACCCTGTAAACGGTGTGAAAAGAAGATTGCGTGTCTAGGTGATGGGGAGTATAGCTATGCCATCAGTGTAGGGTGGTCAGCAGAGAACATGGCAGAAAGTGTAGCACAGGTGGGATTGCCGGGTGCAGAGAAGGGAGACCTGCCCAGCTGTGGCATGGAGGAGGGGTCCCTCGTACGCTCCAAGGATGAGTGGGGATCAATAATCGATATCCTGCATAGCATAGAGAACACAACACAGCCGAGCAAGCCAGCACCATCCATGCCCAGCCCAACTGCACGACTTGCCACCCTGTCTGAAAATATCCAGACAACAGAAATGGCATCACCGATGGACGGTAAACAGGGTCAGGGGCTCCAGCAGTTGGACCACCTGGTCCGCATGATGGAGCAGATGTGCAATCTGCAGAAGCAGAACTTGCGCCTCCGCGAGCAGGCTGAGTATCTCAATGCAATCAAGGATTTACAGGAACTCAGAAATGAGAGCCTCATGCAGAACTGCAAGTGTGAAGCCCAGCGACGCTCATCGGATATAGGCCGAACACCGGATGAGACATTCTCGGAACCAGAGAGCACCGTTGGGGATGAGATGGATACAAAGCGAGACCTGTCCCCAACACGCGAGAAACGAGCCAGCCGATCCATCAAACGTGAAACTAAAACCAAAGGTGCAAAGACGCGCAGCAGATCACTAGATCCGTACAGGAAAGACACCACAGAGCCCGGGGAGAAAGACTCAGACAGGGACAGGGAACGAGAGCGGGGACGCCCAGGGATATTTTCCAAATTTGAACGGATGAAGGAAAAACTGACCACAAGGAGGGGGAGTGTCAAAAAGCACAACACGAACAAGAGGGCGGATGAGAGACAGGATGAGGATCTGAAAGCAAATGCTTTCAGGCCTGACCCGTCATCCAACGAGCACTTCAACCTGCAGATGGATGGGACAGAGACCAAGTCAGAGGACAGTGGTATCTACCATGTGGGTCCTGATGAAATTGTACACTTGCCACGCCTGACGGCGGAAATCTTACCAAAGTCGGCAGATGACTTGTCTGACAGTGAAGATGTGTTTGAGGCCCTCCAGCCATCCTGGAATCAGACCAACAACTTCAGCATGGAAGCACGTAAAGGCAGCGACTTCTCGACCGGGAGCTCCAGCGAGGACTACTTGGAGTTGAAACCCAAAAGGACTGCCGCTCAGTTGCCTCAGGATGAGCCCGTCACCACAAGCAGTCCCGAGCAGCAGCGGAGGAGAGGTGACTCAGAGGAAAGAGCCGTCAAGAGCAGCGATGAAAAAGAGGAAAATGGACAGAGGAAGATGCGTTTTCGGCGTTCAGCTAGCCTACAGGACAATACCTCACTGAACAGTGATGACGAGTTTGACAAGCCTGCCAAGACATCCTGGGAGGTCAAAGAAGCACCAGCTGTCTTGCAGAGGACTGATTCTGGACAGAAACTACTTCAACACAGCCCATCAAATGATTTTGAATTTTCGGATGCCAGCTTGGACATGCAGACGGGCCAGGATTCGGCAAGCACATCCAGCTTGGAGTCTAAAGCGGCTCAGAAGAGGAAATACTTCCGGAAGAGTCATCATGTGGATGAACCGACTTCCCCAACAACTGAGCAAAGATTCAAAGCTGTGGCATTTGAGATGAGGTCCCCAAAATCATCACCTCCAGAGAAGAAAAGGCATAAAGGTAAATGTTATCTTATTTCTGAACAGAATCTTTTAGGGGGAAAGGTGAAGGGGTATATGGATTAAAGAGGGAGACATAACAAGCAAAAATGGGTGACATTTCTTTGCCTGTGTCAACTGTGCATTACTTTGGAAATATACATTATGATGGAGGAAAAGGAACTCTTGTTTCCATGGTTACATTTTCCATGTATGCAAACTGAAAGCCTACAGAGTACAGAAGCATGACGTCAATTGAACCAGGAAGTATAGTGAGAACGAATGGAGTACACGCACATGTTGGTTCACGTGTTGATTCATGTGCTTATGCATTTTACGCACATAATTGTATGTAACATACTCACTTTAGTTCTCTATAGATAATTTTATATTTCAGTTTTTGGCTGAAGAAATGTTTTCTGAGAAATGAAAATACCCCCTTTAAGAATAACAGATTGATCATGTGGGTGCTAGGGATGCCTTTTGTTTAACTCGGGAATGTTTTATCGTCACGGATTAAATGTCAACAGTAGGATGTTGTGATGGGCCCAGGCAGGCTCGGCAAGAATTCCAGCGCACATCAGGTGGCACATGCCGATCCGTTGACTGCTACTGAGATGTAAATAGACTGTTCCCTCCCCCCTCCCCTTCTCTGTCGCTTGTGGAGAAGCCCGGTTCCAGATAAGTTTTTCCTAAGAGACCCTTTGGCAATTCAGGTCAAATGCTAGTTTTCATACCTTGAGATCAAAAGGACCCCATAAATGTACCTGTGTCGTAGTGTATACCCTTTGCATGTATCTTAAAGACCAGTACACAGAAACATATATGGGAATGCCACTCTGTGCTTAATGTTGAGTACATGAAGTACAGTTGTACCGTAAACATAAACTCGTCTCCAAGCAAACTTGGCTTTTTTGTTATAGCACCCTGTTTGGGCATATTTCATTTTTGGAACAAACATGAACTGTAATTTTATATATTCAAAACACGTTGAAAAGACACAAATGGAATCTAGGCAATACTGTTTTGATGTAATGCATTGATCGTAGAAAAGTCAGTTTGATTGAAGCTGACCTGTCAGTGGCATAGCTAAGATTTTGCTCGTGGAAGGGGGCAAAAATGGAGCACCTGCATCTTATGAGGGGAGCACCAGTGTGTTTTTGGGGGGCAGGTTTTTGTTAGCCTTGTTCAACATCCACTCATCCCCTTTTTTTTTGTGGGGGTTCACGTGCCCCCCAGGCTCTCCCATGGCTATGCTACTGCAGCCAGTGGGTTTCGTAGTTAATGATTGGTCATTTTGCCTATGCTGACATGGTTGACGTGATCTTCCTGAAGATCAAGAAGTCCTGCACAAACTCTGCATTAAATGATTTCCGAAACAGAAATTAGACAGTGGAAGTTACCGAAGCACCTGTCATAAGTCGTTTTTCATTTCTATAGTGGATTGCACATGTTGCCAAAACTCAGATACAGGTAATTGAAAGTGATTGATGGAAACTGTGCGCGAATGTTTCAAACGTGTTCCAGTTGGTAATTCCACACTCATTGGAGACACCTGATAACCAGTGGACTGGCAATTAATCCATTGTGTTAGTTTTATTGTAACATGCTTTGCAACTATTGCATTTACTATTACTTCATGTATATCTAAAAAAAGTACACAATGTAGCATTTTTAAAATAAACCTTCAGAACTTAGCATGTACTCTGCATGTTGTTTGAACTGCAGTGGAATACAATACCCTTTAGCAATGTGGAACCATGCACTTACATAATAATAATAATGAATTATTTAAAAAACGCTTTCCATGTCGATGACATCTCAAAGCGCTGTACAGTAAAATGCGAAAATTAAATTAACTTTAAATAATTAAAACAAAGTAACAGGAGTTATAAAACAAAATTAAAAATTAAGCAATAAAAAATAACATTAAATTAAAATATTCATAAAACGTACATGTACATCAAATAGAATTGTACATGATGAATTACGCTTTGATTTTAAGATCACATTTTATATTTCATGTGCATCACACTTTGGTTCTGTGGAACTACTTCACTGTGGATAGGAGTAGTGTGATGGCGAGAATTGTTCTTTGTATTTTGCTGCTTACTTGCTGATAATTTCACGCATAAATAGGTTTACTTGCACTGGCGCATGCCTGACACATCATCACAGGATGTCTTGTATCTATCTGTCATCACTTATCACATAATAATCTTAATATCCAGTTAATCAAAAACAACAGTCCAGCATAGGAAATTTCACCCTTGCACTTGCCAGTTCATTAAGAGCGCATTTGCCGCAGCCTGAAAATAGCGCAGTTGATATTGGCACCACTGTAGGGATCGTGGCGGGCACTCGCCCAGCTTTCAACTTCTGACATTTTCCGCCAGCCGAGCGGGCCATCTGCCTGCGACTTTTTTGCCCTCTCCAAGGTTATCAAGAATAACACGGCACGGGTGTTTTGCACCGGTCGGGCAGGGCCCACCGGTGGCTGGTCACGCCATTTTCTGCAAGGTTCGGAAGCAGAGACAATGAAGGAAAGAAATACCAAAAGAGTAATTACAATCCGAGTCCTACACAGGTCATTACATGTGGATTCAGGGAATTTGGTTTTAATCAAATGGTATTTGCTTGTCACATTCCAACCTATTTGGCAAACCAGTAGACCGCTCAATGTATGCATGTGTTACTGTGCTCCTATTCAAATGCACATAAGTACTTCGCAAATGTAGTTGACTTTAAAGACTTTTAGATCAAGCACATGGAGAGGTATTAAGCAGTAGTTTTTCAATCTGTGATAAAAATCAAAGCCTGTTGAAATGCGTGCAAATGATCAACACTTCTCATTGAGGAACAAGTTTTATATTACCTCACACTACAATTAATGTTAGGAGTATATGCATTGACCACACAAAGAATTTCTGCTATTGCAGAAATCAATCTTCACAACACGAATTTAATCATGCGTTAATATTTCATTTTGCGAGAATTGATGAGCCGAGGTCATGCATGTCAACAGGAGGAAGCATGTAAGAAGCGGCAGAGGCGAGAGAAGAATTCTGACAGCTCACACTCAAAATTATGCTGATAATGACAAATTACTCATCCAAAGCAATAAAAATGACTAACAACGATCCTTGATGCCTTTTCTGCCAGACATATTGCGATTGAGGGAAAGGTCAACGAGAATATGCATTGGTTTTGTTTCAGTGTTTGGATGTACTCGGGTTGAAGTATTGCTCAGCGTCAGAGTGTTTTTACGGTGAAACTGGACTTCAATTGAAGGCCCTGTGAAACATGGCAGAATGGGACATTAAGTAGCCTTATTTCATGTACCAGTCACGATTTGTTGTACATGTGGAAGGTATTTATGGTCAAAGAAGTCTCACTCAATCTTTCTTGAGAGAAGAATCAAAGAAGGGATGAAATGTCGGACATCCTTATATATCATTCCGTTTGTCATTGTTGGTGGTTGTCCGAGTCAAAGGAACTCATCGATCAGATTAATGTATGTATATACTTGTCATGTGGTAGGCATGGTAATGCCTGTACCCTGAAGAGATTTATGTTGAAACACTGCTAGAGATTTGCAGCATTTGGCCAAACACTTCCAAAGCGTTAACCAGCACAGGACAGTTTCTGAAAATAGTTGAAGCAGAAAAACACTCTAGGTCTGAAATTTGGTTTGTACGCGTACACCGTGAGTGAAGGATTAAGATTAAGCCTCAGCATAGTTTGACTATCAAATATCGTAAGTTGGCACAGAATTGCTTTGAAACATAGGATTCAAGCTGATCTAAGCAGAAGCTTTCGCTTCAGAAGGATGGAAATCAACCGAATTGTTTGCTGTTTTGGTTTTGGGGTTTTTTGCTTGTACACAGTGAGGTAATGTTAAACCCTAACACTCCTCAGTCCTCCAACAGGTGAAGGATTGAGGAGTGTTAGGGTTAATAATTAGGCAAACGTATGCTCAAGTGAAAACAAATAATGGTTTGTAATACTGTTTAAAGTACTTTTTTGACATTCATTTTAGCCTGTTAAAGTGTTTTGATATAAAGAACACATGTTTAGAGAGCAGAGTTTCCCAACTGCTGTATAGCTACAGCTATATACTGTGAAAAAAATTGCCTTTTCATGTAATTTGCTCCATTCAGTTCTAAGGAGCTTCCCAAATGTACATGGCTCCTGCTTGCTCCTCAAAGTCATTTGGGAAATAGAAAATTAGAGTCTGAAAGCATTTTGTAGAAGTCTTCAAAACTCATCTTAACTCTGATACATTTTGCCATTTTTGTGCAGTCGGTTGGGAGAAGGTCAAGCATGCCGTCACCAGGAAACACATCGGTGACATAAGCAAGACCAAGGGGACCATCTCCATGGATGAGAGCATCCTCCGCAGCTCAGAGGAACCCAGCTCGCCCACCGACAGCTCCCCGCCTGAGGATGCCTCAGGAGGAGGAAAGACCGGAAGGGCAGAAGTCAAGAAGGGTGACCCCAAAAGGGATAAAGGTCAGTGTGGAGCTGTCTTGGTGCTGCAGCGCATACAGAGATGGAATTCAACCAATCCTGCGACAAATGTGTGCATTTTTATGAACTTGATCAGCCTTACACATTGAAAAAAATTGGAAACCTTGCAAGACGGAGTAGGGATTGGTAAAGTTGGCACTGTACACCATGTTGGAATAATTTCTTTTTTTTTTGCGAAGAAATTTGGTTCTGATAAGAACTAGTGGTTAATAGGTTCAGTGTTTCCATTGATGTAATCTAGCCATTGTTCCTGAAGATACATGTAACCAGGAGACAACTGTTTGAAATGTTGATCGCAAACTACATGGTTGTTTCAGAACCCATTTCTTCTCAAAAGAGATTCTGGCCACACGATGACAGTGCAAACCCTACCAACCACTGCTTTTGTACATGCAGAACTGTTCACTTGGGAAAGTTTTCTATTGAGAGTGGGATTTATAAGCTGTGAAATGTGGCTGTCAAGTAGATTGGTACCCCAATTGAAAAGATTAGGGAAATCAACTGCAGATTTATTGAGGTTCTTGCTAAAGGGAACAATTCTTTGCCCCATTGTTGGTGTACTGAACACAGATATACTTTGTCAATGTCATGCTTGTTAGCAGTTTTGAGTTGGCTCAGCTTTTGCTGGAAGTATTTCAATGCCCAATAGCCCAATAAATATCAGGGAAATTGTACATGTGAACTGACTGCATGTCTCAAAGTTCAAAAATCTGTGCCATAAAATTGGTCCCACAGTATCACTAGCTCTGGGGACCATGTTCTTGCCTGCAGGTACGCTTGACCTGAAACTCCCTTACCCATGTTTGCAATTAGCTCAAAATGGTCTGCTGTCCTTAAAAAAATAACCTTCCTCTACTCATAAACAGTTTAGTAGTACTTGGGAACCAAACAAATATGGGTGCAGGGTGAATGTGCTGTATTCCAGCTTTGCAGTGGCACAGTACACAGCGCACTTATCAATTTCACTTTATCCCAATTCTACAAGTGACAAATGGCCAGCCCTCAGTAGACCTTCCTCCTTCAACAGCCACCTTGTGTAGGCGTCTGGATCAGGCAGTGTGGATTGACATATCCAGCCTGCACCCATTTTTGTCATCTTAGCAAGTGATAGGCCTAGTGTAGATGTACATCAGTGGGATCGTGCATTTTTGCATGTGCCGTGCCCACAGCCAAGAGCCAACTTTTCAGACATCCAGTCTGTTGGGGGATTTCATTCAGGAGATGTCAGGTGGTCTGGTACCTTTGGAAAAACCCCAGAGGCATTGCTTTGGGAGTTTTGTGACATTGTGGTGTTGTGTTCAGTTTTGGTCGCATTTCACGCAGAAATGTGAAATCCATCTTCGGTCCAGATGTAAGCACCGTGTTTAATAGCCCAACCACAACTTTGTCTCTCTGCGCATAGATAGCACAGTGCTGTTGGGTCTGGAATTCATGCAGATCTCTTTCCAGCTATCAAGGATGCTGAAATTAGAATTCCTGGAAACATCATTGTCGGTGGATTTTATGATATCATGTGAAAGTTAAATTTACCATTTTGAGATTCCTGGTATAGAATCAATGATGCCCTTCTTTTTTATCAACAGAGATTTCTGTGTCCAGCCTAATTTCATTCTTACGGTTTGCATAAAATTTGCACTTGGTCTCTGTTGGGGAAATTGGACTACGTCATTGTACATGTGAGCATGCCTTTGTTTATTTAAGGCCCACCATAGTTGATGAAGTGCACCCCATAGGTTTGTAAACCAGTTTAAACCGAAGATTTCCTCTACAGAAGACAAAGATCAATCCCTAGCTATTTCTTTGCATTCCTGTTCTCAGGTCAAACCAACACACACACACACACACACACACAAAACTTGTAAACAAATACATTCTATTTCTGTTTTACTGTTTGGCAACCAATGCAGATACTAATAGGATAAAGAAATTCTCTTCCTGATGTTTTCGCAAAACTTGGTCACCCCAAATGAAGATACTTATTGAATTATTTGTGAACTTTCTCATCTGTGACTGATTGAGGAATGAGATTGTACTCAACCCCTCTGAATGTCAAGTTGGTTGTAGTCTTGGAAATGGTAATCTGTCAGTTCCACTGACCGGACTTTTTCTTCACGGGCGGAAAGTTTCTACCCCGGCAAAGCACTTCAACACTCTGCCACCTGTGTGTTTGACCGATGGATGAGTCATTGACATCAACTGCCAGTTGTGAATGACTTGCAGGAACTGTCCTATCTTGTTTTGCTCCCTCTCGCGAGCTGACAAACAAATGAAGATCTACCTTAAATTTTGTAACTTTGTCTGAAGCGGTTCTCCAAAATCTGTCATTTTCCTGGACTGGTGGTTAGCCGCAGTCTACGGTTAACTGTTGGAGATTTCCTCATGAAATGCTGTGCCTGTTTTGCAGAAATGAGGAGGAGATTTGGGGTAAATTTTCTTGCAGTTTCCTTGTGACTTATGGTTTTGTTTCCGTTGTGAAAAGTGAATCTGGGTTGTAACATTTTAGACATTTAATGTTAGTAGTGTTGCAAGACTTGTTGTTTTAGGTTTGCTGTTGTTCGCCCAGATTTGGTTTTGCAGTACTGAGAAAGTTCAGTGGTTTACTGTGAAAGTTCATTGCGGAAACAAACAAAATTTCTTGGACATTACAAGTTTTGAGCTGTTGCTCTTATTTGTTTTGCCCATTGTTCTTTGGTGTGTCGCAGTTTTGCTGTTTGTGAGTTCTTGTGCCCACTTATTCCTTATTTACTGATCGTTTTTTTTTTGTTTTTTTTTTGCTCTTTACTTCTTGTTAATGCCTAGCTGACCCCAGTGGGATGATTGTGAACAGCCATTGACTTATAATTTTTAAGTGTTAAGATGTTAAATATTTGGTTAGTTTTACAGTTGAACCCTCCGACATTGTCCTTATAATTTAGTTGAAAGATTTCACAAGGGCAGAAATAGGAGTATGAGTAATACAGTCTCTGGCCTCTGCCTTAACCTCTTTTTACTTCCCTTCCCTCGACTTGACAGAGAGGGGTACCCCACCCCAAACAACCTCCACGGAGGCCCAAAGTCCACTAGCCCTCTATGAGAGTCTCCAGGCCAACCTCTCCGAGGACTTTGCCAAGAAGATGGAGAAATGGGACAAGAAGAAACAGAGGCATGCCATGGCAGGTATGCAGACATCGGACAAAAACCTTACTGAGTTTTGGACAGTGGTTATCTTGATGAACAGACTCCGTTGTTTGTACTGGTTTGCTTTACATTTGTGCTGTCTTGAAGGAAAGATTACACTATGACTTGAATGACTGAGATGGCTTATATGGCAGAAGTGAATTTTTACTTTTCATTGTGATTGCAAGGATTTGTAATACATGTATCAAGTAGTACCTTTATGAACCTTAGCAGCCCCGTAGGCAGGGGGGGTTGAGGGGTTCAAATGACCCCCCCCCCACTCACTTCTGAGTTCTGCTTGTCAAGGTTTCAGGTTTTCATAGCAATTAAAAATTAATTTATACTGCCAAACCGTTGTTTACTTACAGTAAAAAAAATTGAAACATCGTGGGCATGAGACTTTCCGACATTTTTTAGAGTTTCAGTATCAGATGTACCACCTGACAACGTACTCCTCTCTTGCGTAGTCAGTGGTTTTCTTTGTGAGATGTTCTGAACAATCCCTGATTAAAGGTGTCTGTCACAATTTTCCTGTCCCTATTCCATCATCAGGTGCCTCACCCTTGGAGAAGGCCAAACAGTCATCCTTGGACAGCTGCTCCTCGGAGGCGGGCACGCTACCAACCAGCGACCTGGAGGCGGAGCTGCAGCGGGGCCTGACAGAGGACTTCTACAAGAAGTTGGCCGAGTGGGACAAGCTGAAGCTGCAGCAGAGGGGCGGAGCCGGGGGCGGGGGGATAGTGGGCCCCAACAGCCCCAAGGCCGAAGCCAAACAGAAGCAGAAGGGTGCCAAGGAGGGCAAGAAAGCAGCCAAGAGTGCCAAGTAAGCCAAAAGATGATTGACCGAGTATACAAAACATGATATCAAGTCATCTCTGGACATCATTGGCCAAGCACAGGAAAGAAATAGAAATTTTATTTCAATATACAGTTTTTACTCTAAAATAAAAATTTTAAACATAATTTGTCTGTGTTTGGAATTGTTTCACATTTCATACCAGGTCCTCGGTTTATTTTTAGTTTTACAAATGTGTAACTGACTTATTTTGTGCCATAATGAAACCTTTTGTGCCATTACTCACTTAGGATCACTTCCAAAGAGAAGGACAGAGACAAACACAAGACCAAAGATGTCCAGCAGAGGAGCAAATCACCCGATGCCTCAACAACCCGCAAGATCTCACCACCCTCAGAGGCCATTTACTCTACTGAGAACATCACCGTCTTTGCCAAGCAAGGCGGCAAGCTCAAGCTGGAAGGGGCCACCAAAGAATTCTCCAAGAAGTACAAGGAGTGGGAGAAGAAGGAGAAGAAAAAGAAGAACTTCCCACCCCTCCGTCCCGAGGACATCGCCACACCGGTCTTTGACCAGGCCCAAGCATTAACTGGGAACTTCCGGGAAGATGCTACCCCACCGACTCCGGCCAGTCCAACGATGATAACTGAGCCTACCAGCCCAGAATCCGGCGACCTCTACGTCATTGCACATGCCACGCCAGTCATTGTCGAACCAGACTTTGACAGTGGCGATCCCCGGCTGGCCAGGGCCGGAGAGCCAATATTCAGAACTCAGTCCGCACCACCGGCATCTACGGCAGCGTCACAAAGCCTTGATGCCGCGCCCCGGGGAGAACGCCCTAGCTCGCAGAGGGTCCCCAGTGTGGAGGAAGACGTCTTCACCCTGGGAGCATGCGCCAGCCCTCCCATCCCCCAGGAGAGGGTCAACAGGCTGGAGCAACGCAACTCGTTCCTGGCCGAGCAGCTCAAGATGGAGGATGTGAATCTTCAGGCTGTTCAGGAGGAAATTGTGAACATGGATGAGCAGATCGCAGAGATCTCAGGAGAAAAACCAGGTAGGGACACATCAAATTGTACTCTGTATGAAATGACTGATACTCAGAACCTGCATCCTTCACATATGTACTGTGTTTTCAACACCCGCAAGTTCTTTGACAAACCATTCTGTTCCTGCCCAACATAGTATACTCTTAGTCTCTGAGTGTTAGTTTTTCCAGACTTATTACGAAGAAGCATAAGCAAAGTGTGACAGCCTCACCAAACCTACACAATTAAACAAATCCTAAAAGCTTTTGATTCGAGTATGTTTTGTGTACTCTGGCACTTTCAATACAAAACAAGTAAGACCCAAGTCATACATGGGATTAAGATGTTTCACAGTGGTAAATAGCTGAAACCTTTTTTTATAGGTTATGTTTCAAAACCAAAAATGAGGATTTAACTCCGCAATTAAAATAACATTCAACCATCTAATGCTTTCACATAAGCTACATTCACCCAGGGATTTCTTTAAAGGAAGTATGACAAATTCCTGTGACTCATGCGAGCCTTCCCCCCCCCCACTGAGCATTGCAGCCACGTTTGCACTCTCTATCCAAATTTGGTTGCGGGAAAGAAGGTTTAAGGCTATTCTGAATACAATTTGGTTTGTTGGGCTTGGGCTCAGACCCTGGTTGGCTTGATTTAGCCTGGAACATCATCTCCTTGTACCCTTTTGGTGGAAGCCTCAGCTTTTCTCTGTGGTGCCAAGCTTCTGCCTACAATAGGCTTTTGCACATTCAAATGAAAATCCTTGTTCCACACCATTCATGTGTGCAGCATTGCACATGCAATGTATCCCTTTGCCCCATCCATTAGGTGCTCTGAGCATGCCACACCTGCGGTCCTCTGCTGTAGTTTATATAGTACACATTGTACTCTGAATAATATACTGTTTCGTCACCATTGCTTTCTGCTCACTTTAGCTAAGCTAATTTTGGACCCGTCATGCTTTCAGGCATTATTCACATAGTTTTAGTTATGAGAGAATCACAAGTCAAATTTTCATGCCTTGAATTTTGCAAGTAGTAAAAATGCATGAACATTTTTAGTTCAGTGTTTTAACAACTTGCAAATCATGCCATCACCCGTGTTTACTAACAGCAAAAAGAATTGCTTTTATTCAGAGGATCACACGCAGCGTCGTGTGAGCACGTGCTCATCCATCGGTGAGTCCGCTCTGGAAGCTGAACTCTCTGATATCAAGATGCAGATTGCCCTGTTGGAAGAGAATCTCAAAAAGCGGCCCCGGCACAAAGGTCATCACAGGACTGAAGAGTTGGATGGGGTCAAAGGGCAGGACAGTGCGGGGTCATTGCCGGAGGTGGATGGGAAATGTGGCATAAGTACAGAGGCTGCAGGTTGGTGACGTGGTGTGGAATCTCAATGCAACCTCTTTTCGTTTGATTATGGATTGCCCTCTTTCTTTCTTTCTTGGAGTGACTCCTGTCTTCCTGCCTGATCTGAGTTGACTTTTCTCTACTTTACAGAATTTGACAATTTTGGGTTTCCTCGGCTTGTGTTTTTTCTTCTTTCTTTTTTCTTGTCTTCTTTTTTCTCTTTTCTTTCCATTTGGATTTGAATCTGTTCTCAATTAAACCCTTTTCTCTTGTGTGTTCGGTAATCAGCTCCTTTATTATTCTATTCTGAGATTTTCCTGCCTGTGTTTTGCTTTTGCATTGATTTGATTTTGTTCTTGTGTTCTTTTGCCTGCAAACCTGGGGGTCAGCTCTCGTTCTGATTAGTATTTTTAAAAAGTTAAGTTGTCTGTTAAACAGTTTGCAGTGTGTTCCAAGAAGTATTGTTTCCACATTACAGCCATCTTTGTCTAGTTTCTGCAAAAAGTAATTTTAGGTGTTGCATGAGCACCATACAATTTCAGCACAGGCTGCTCTCTGAAAGTCTCAATGACTTGTGTGGGTGGCAAAAATAATTAAAAGCTTCCTGCTTTAATTCTGGGGGATTTACTAAATACTCTACTGCTTGCCCCACTGTCAAATTTGGTTGCTGCCCTCCACTTGTCAGGTAAAAAACCAAGAGTAATTTTTTCTCCTTCCAGCTTTTTGTTGCTCTTTTTTTATGGTTTGGAGTGAAATGTGATGTTCCTCATACTAACAGACTCATGTTTATTTTCACCAAAAAAAGAAACTAATAAAACCATGTTTGTGTGTCACATCTATATGCTTTCAAGCTCATGCATGTTCAGTATTTGCATGCCTTGTTAAGTACTGATATTGTGATTTTTTACAACACTTCAGTAAACTTTTACAATACTACCCTGACAAGACTCTGGGTTTTGTTCATCTCACGAACAAAAGAAGAAAGGTAGCAGTTTAACAGTAATTTTTGTTGTAGCCCATTGGGCAGTCTTTTTCTTTGAATAGTTTAATAGGCAGTCTTTTTTATAAAAAGTTTTGGATGGACTTTGAACTAACAATGTATGCCAAGGTTCAAGTCATTCAGGCCCATGAAATTAAGATTTAGATTCAAGGCACCATATACCTGTTAGTGCCAGCAGCAGTGCCAAAAGTCATGTATTTAGCATTGACTCACAGATACCCATGCCTAACAATCCATCAAGCTTCTTGAGCGTATACAAGGCCGTTTCCAATACTCAACTTCGTCTCTGTCTCAGGCTTCATTCCCAAAACCAATTCCCGATTGTGGGCCTGAAGCACTAAGCGTTTAAATTAAATTGGACTTCTGTAATTTTTGGCTCTTTTAGATCTTATTTCATGCTTTGTGGCACTATTAGACTAATTGGTGCGCTTACAGCTTCAAAGTCAGCTAGTAAAAAAACAGTCGAAGCCTGAGACGGAGCCGAAGTTGAGTATTGGAAAACAGCCCATTTATTCATTTTACATAATGATTCCTTAGAATTATTTTTACATTTTGACTTTGGTAATTTTCACCTACATGTTCATGCAACACTTGGTGCTCCAGCACAGTGTTCGCTACAATGGGGGCTAGGCGCAGTTCAACACAGTCAATTCCATAGGTTTGTATGTGTGTAAAATGAATGGGAATTTTGAGAGTTTAACCCATCAGCCGCTGCTCAGAGTACAGGTGCATATTGCGCAGATATCCTAATGGGCTGCATTTTTCTCCCAAGGGAAAACCTTGCCCGAATGTATTCAATCCATTGTACCAAAAGTACAGGTCATGATCGTATTTTGTGACTGAAATGTGTCTGGGAGCTTCAGTGGTAGCTTTTCTCATGTATGCACAGTTTAAAATTCCTGACTGAAAAGGTTCATTCTATAAATCAGGGTCCAAGATTGTGACATTCTTGTGTCCCTGTTACACCTGACCTGTGTAATGTGACATGGAAATATCAGTAAAATTGACTTAGAACTATTTCTGTTTGTTTGGCAGGTAATTTGCATTGATTCATCACCCTCAGAAATTAGAGAATGTGTTCTGAACTTTCAACATCATATGTCAGATGTGACAGGGACACACACAAAAAATTGGACCCCAAATTTATAGGATGACCCAAAAGCGTCAGAGTGTGTGTTGCTCAGGAGAGGGAATCCAACGTTATTTTCTTTACAGAAATCAAATCAGGCAGACTGAAATAAGGCCAGTTGGATAAAGATCTTTTATTCACTTTCTTTTAAACTGCAGGGAGTTTTGGTAATGTTGGCTTGTGGTCATTGACATTTAGAAAACCTGCGTAGTTACCCCAACCCCCACAGTTTGGTCATGGACATGGAAGCAAAGGTTTAGCCAGGCAGGATTTCAAAATAGCCACTAATTACCATGTCAATTATCACAGAATTCCTTGCCAGGCCTCTGGCATTTACGTGTAGCCTGACATTTACATATTCGGACAACAGGCAAGTGTACGAACTTTGAAAATCTGCAAACCACTGCTTAATGCTTCCAAGGAGAAGGGAGCGACAAGGCTCATGCGGGAGGAAGATTTCGTTGTCTCTCACCCCTTGCAAACGGCGATGTGATCTCGCTGTCAGTCAAGGTCTTATAGAAACAGTGATTCATAGCTCACAGGAAATCTAATGAAAATGGACACTGAAGGGACCCGTACAACTTCAATTATTAATCCAATTTTTGATTGAGGTTTGGGCTCTCTTCCTTCAATCAATCTGAATGGATCATTCAGCGGAAAATATGAAAATTTGAAAATATGTGAAATATTGAAAAATGCAGCAAACTGCTTGAAGGTACATTTGACACAAATTAAGATCAAACAATGAGAAGGCCTTATTTTTTTCTCTCGGTACAATGTCTCTGAAAGGTCTTCTAGAGAGATCCTGCCATTAAAAGTTGAAAGTTTATGACTCGTATGAGGGTGCAGAATCCATCCTGGGTTTGCTCTTACTAAGATTACCTCATCTGCATCATAGATAAGGATGAAAGTTGCATTAGATTTGTGTTCAAAACCAATTCAGTTAAAAATAACCTCCAAATTTTACAACTAAACTTCAGACACATTTAACAAGAACTGAGACTGCCTAAGGCCCACCTGGAAGAAGATATCACATTCTGAATGATCTCTGTGAAATCATGAGATTTTCACAGCTTGTCCCAACCTTCTCCGATCTGTCATCGATCTTTTACACATTTGTGTCCAAGAATTGAAAGACACAGATACTGGCTGGTTTTTTTTACTGCTGGTATACACACCTGCATGCTCTATCCATTATTAGTTGGTGAAGAACATTCATCTTGGCTTTTTTCCCCATAGGACGAAAAGAATGTCTCCCATTCTTTCTGTTCATATGTTGTAAGAGGTCTTAACAGTTTCTTAGCTTTCTTGGCTTCCCTCAAGCCACGGTTCAGGATTAATGGCGGAATTGTTGCCTGCCAGAATAATTTATTTTGAAATTTGGCAGACATTCATTCATCCTTGTCGCTGATAATTGCCACTGTAGGCAACAACCCCCGGGGTACATGGATGTAAATCTTCTTTCCTCCCTGTTTGACAAATACACAATAAACATTTTCGGTTGTATCCCTAGACTGTACAAAAATAGCCTCAACACCAAGTCTGACTCAATAGTGAATGGATAAGTAAATAAATCACAAACATAAGTTGGCCTTGTTAATGTGTTAGGCTACAGGAGCATTCCTTGTCAACATCCAATTTCCAAGAGCAATTGAATTTGGAAATCTTCCAACCAGAGTGTTGTTTTTCTATTGGAAAAAACTCGAAACGTTGGAGCATTCTTCTCTGTCAGTATTCCAAGTTTATTTTAGTCCTTGCTCTTTTGGCCCTTGAGGAGGGAGATTTTTTTCTCTTTCTTTTAGTTCAAGGTAGAGTTAAGAGGCCCCAGGTTACCAGTGAAGCCAGCTGTGGGTTCCCGTGCAGTTGAAGCTAAATCTTTTATAGCTTTGTAGATTCTGTGCATTGGCCATCTTGGCAAAAATACCCAATTTTAGAAATTACTGATGTACATGTAATGCAACTGTGGTGCTCGTCACAGCCGGTAATGTTCCAAGCATTGCGTCGACAAAGACATGCTAGACTGTGAAGTATCCTTGCTAATAAGTGCCATGTGTGGCTCCCTTTGATCAAAGTGCCCCCCCAAGAAAACAAATCTTGCAGATGGTCAAATATACCCTGTCTGAAACAGCTATTGCACTGTATTAGCACAAAATTGGGTCAAAAGGACACAGTAAATAACCCCCCACCCTCAACACTCAGAAACAGATTACATTTTGTGAAGAGCTGGACTCAGTGTGAATCATGCATTGCCATGGGAATTGGGAGGAACTGGTAACACTATTGGGGTCAGTTTGACCTACATGCATCTTCCTCTGAGACCAGGAGGCTGCTGCGATGTGGAAGGGTTTGTTTCAAAGTCAGCCGAAAATGCAGCCAGAGAGAACATGAATTCCTTATAATTCTGGGCTTTGATCAGAGAGATTATCATGTGCTTTGTTGTGTCAAAACAGAAGTGAAGTATTATTTTTTTTTACTGGAGAAGGGACATCATCATCTGACAATTGTTCTAGTTTTGGAAACTGAAATAGTCTCAGTGATCACAGTTCTGATTAAACTTCTCTGGTTGACTTCCCCTAAAAGGTAGCAATTCACCCTATACTCTACCCAACCTCCCTTCTGAAAACAAGGTCAGATGAGAAATTATGTAGGGGAATTGCTTTGTGTGTGTGTGTAAATATACATATGTGCATATGGCGGCACTCACCTGTCCGGGCAAGGTCTAAAAAATAACTGTGTACATGTATTTGGGCAGGCTGCCAGGGGTCACAGGGTCATTGCAGGCAGTGAAGTGGACGATGTAAAAGATTGTGAGACTTTGGGCGGGTGAAAAGGAAGAGCGCAGGATATTGGTGGTGGGTGAAGGCAATAAAACGAAGGAAGACGCTGGAAGGCCAAAAAAGCTGTTGTGTGAACCCTATTATTTCCCTCACCAGAACTAATGCTGAAAGCGATCATAGCTAGCTTTTTGCTACAATTAGAACATGACAAAGGTATAATTTACTCTGATGTTCCCTCTGTGTACCCACCAGAAAAGTCTAAAAATACAGAGTGCAAAATCAAAATGGTGAAGGAGCAAGCAGGTCAAAGGGTCAAAGCTCAAGTCAAGTATTGACTTATCTGTTCCTCAGTGTTCAAAGTGCACGGAACCCCAACTGGAATTTTACATTTCTACCACAAGCCATGTAAATCAGTTTAAACACTGTTGTACTCACTTTCACTTAAAACTGACTTCGTCAAAATATTTCATGTCACTAGTTTTACGTCAGCAACTGGCATATTGCTGCGCTCTTTTATGAGTTTGTATTCAGCCCTTGGTTAACCTTCCTTTCTGTAATCATTTACATCCTCAAAATTTCAGTGTGTTTTATTTTATGCTCAAAGCCGCAGGCTGCAAGGCCTCACCTTCATGACTCAAACCAAACCGCATAATCCCAAAGATGAAGAGGCCCTAAGCCCAGGATGGGGGACGCACTGCCCTCAGAGAAACTCAGGTTCATGGTCCAATGGGGAGGAAGTCTTGCTTAGTATGCTGGATTGTGGTCTGAGTTTCATAACAAATCCTGTAATGGGCAGACCAGATGGCAAGGCAGGTTATTTTGAAATCACAAGTGTTCCTTGAAGGTTTCCGTATGAACCTACATGTACATGTAACTGATTTTCATTTACTGTTTCTTTCCCTATTGTGGGTGGGGCTTCCTCAGATTCCCTGGAAGGGTTATTTTGGCACAGTCACTTCCATATTTTCCAGTGGAACTCAGTCCCTAAATTGCCACATCTTTATCGACATGAAGTGCAGTCCAGCTTGCCGTTTGCTGAGACCTCATTGAAACCATGAGCGGAAGTCAAGGCAGTAGTATGAAACAATTTATCTTGTTTTTTTTTCCGAAGCAGTAGGTATTGCGATGGCAGGCAGATTAACCCTCACTCCCTAGGGTGTGTGCAAAATCTTATTAAAGTTGGAGGATTCAGGAATGTTAGGATTAATCAAACAATAAAGCTGGCAGTGATACTTTCAAACAAAGTTGAACAAGACAAACTGGAAACTTTTCCATGTGACTCTGGGAACCTATGCGAAGACTTTTCTTGTTGCAATTTGGACGTGATGGGATTTTGAACCCGCTTTTATGCAAAGCACTAGCGCACACTGCCGTTAAGATGGACAGGCCTGGAGAAGTGGCTGACCCAATGGCCATATACCAACACCCTTCATATCAGGACCATCTTTAGTCTGTAGGGATGTGAATCAGGTTATTTATGGGCAGGATGGAGGAAGGAAACAGACTGTCCTGGGAGTCTGGCAGCCATGACTGTTGAGCCATAAATAGGAGTCATGTGAAGCATTATCAGTCATGGCCCCTTGTGCCAAGGCATCCCCCTCCCACCCTCCCCCCCCACATTCCCCCAACCCCAACAGGACTCTGAAGGAATGTTCAAGGCAAGGGATTATCTCCTTTTGGATATCCTCCACAATAGCATTTACCGTAAAGGGAGATAGGAAGTTTAAAAAAACTGAATTATTCAGAAGTCACTTGTTACCTAGAGACAAGTCTCTAGGAAGGATCCTGAGGTAAAACATCAGGTGTCACATTTGGTCAGTTGGAAGAGGAAATTTATGGGTTACAGTTCTGCCAGATTCAGAGATTTGCACCTGGGCAACCTAGACAAAAATAAATGGTACTGCAACGGTATTAAATGGTACTGCATTCGAATTGCCAGCGTTAATCACGTCCGTGAATTGCTTGGTTTTGTTAACTTTATAACTAACAAGACCATAATAGCAAATACAGTGTAGTCCTAGACACTTGGCACTTGAAACGTTTACACAAAATTCTATAGTGGGCTTACCATAAAAAATTATGGCTGGCCTCTGTCAAGAAGTTATTTGAAAGATTTAGTTGATTAAACTTTCCATCTCTGAACAGACTTTACCCAATACCCGCCACCTGCAGTGGAAGCAGAGAAGACAATATTAGAGGAACCACCATCGGGACCAGTGGAAACCAGTACAAAGGCAGATGGGAACAGCAACCTCGCAGAGGCACTTGAGAAGAGTCTACAAGAGAGGGAGGCAATAATCAAATTGCTACAGGTAATGGCCGATCTGGCCTTAATTCCAGTCTGTGTATTATTTTCCCCCTGACATGTACAGTCTCTTTCGCCAATGTTTTATGGAAACTTTCCAAAACTTGTCTATTGGCACAAGGCATCCTGCACTCTTGAGGGCTGTGCTTGGAGAAGATGATTGATGATGTATACCAAAGCCTATTTTGTTGGATTTTGTTTTGATTACCATACGAGTAGGCCCGAGTAGAGCGGCAAGCACAGGAGATCAACTACCTCAAGAATGGCGTGGATGCAGCCAATCAGTTCAGACGAGCCAAGAGTTTCACGGCCAGAGATAAGAAGATCTTTGTAAGTTTTGCAAGTGAGACAATTCAACACATCAAATGCTGTGGTCATCTTTGGTGTTTCATATTTGTGAGCTGACCTGACAAAAAGAGTCACAAGTCACCAGAGCCATGCTCAGTTAAATTTGGGCCGTTAAAAGAATCTTTCACCAGTTGTACCACATTTTAGTTTCTATATTGTCCTTTTATCGAGATACCAAATTGAGTGATGCATCAAAACAAAGAGCCTAAATTGCTCTCTCTTCAAGGCAAACTAAAAATTGCAGAATTTATTTGGAAATAAATCCTGGCAACATCAAGATGAAATGTTTGGCGTCAGGCAAAAATCTGTGTACTTATCAATAGTTGCTATGTGCACTGTATGTCTTTGATCACACTTTTTGTGTTATCTCTATTTTGGATGACTTTACTGTAGTTTTATCATGGTCTTTTTTCGCAGGACCCACGGGCCATGAAGATCGTAGACATCCCAATAGACAAACCAGAGGCGAGCAAAGTCAAGATGCTATCTGACGAGCAATCAGAGTCCTCCAAATCCCTCAAGTCAGACAGCACTCCCTCCCTGGATACGCTGCACATTTCAGGTTGGCATAGTAACACTTCTGGACCAAACTCTGCTCTCGGATTATCAAAAATCTCTTCTGGAGGAACTTCTGCTGTGACGTTTTCATTTAAAGGCATTTTTTTTCTGTTTTTCAATCCTAGCTGAAGATATCAGAATGGATGAGTCTACTGAGAAGAAACAAGACAAGGTGGAGCCTGGCAAAGACAAGGTTACTTTTCAGACTCAAATCTTTTTGGTTGACATCCCAATTTTCTTATTTAATACTGGCCTCTTCCTTACCTTTGCTGTTTGACCCAGATGTTTGTTCTCTTCTCAACCTCTGTGTTCACACCTTTCTTGGATTTTCGTTCTCATTCTTCTGTTCAGTAATTCTGTCAGCAGTCTTCTGGTGTTTATTGAAATGACTTGCTTTATTGAGCGTCCAAGCTGTGCCTGGTTTTTACAGGATTGAATGAGATCTTCACTGTTTCAAAACATAATCCAAGTTGTGTTCATTTTCTTTAACGTAATGGAAATCAAGTTTTTTGTGTTCATTTACAGAAATCCGATATGCATCCAAGCCAATTGGTTGAGAAGGAAGATGCCAATACATCAGAAATTTCAAAGATGGAGTCAGTTGACAAGATGCCACCACCTCAGCAGACAGAGAAAGAGGAAACTCAAGAAGAATATCCTGGATTGTATGGGCCGATTGAGACCAAGCTCAAACGACGAAGAACACAGAGTGCAGAACCACCACCGAAGCCTGACAGCACTCAAGACACCAAGGATGGCTCTACCAAGGAAGCCCATGTTACAGACAGTCATACTGCCATGGATTCCCTACTTGCCAAGAAGATAGAAGGCTCCCAGATGCAAGAGCCGGCATCCAAAGATGGCAGCCTGTCTCCAAGATTAAGTCGGACAAGGGCAGCCAGGGAGAAGGACAGTGAGGATAAAAGTCCGGGATCACCCTCTGCTACTAGCAAGAAGGTCATGCCCAAGTTTGAGCTGGTTAAGTTGGCTGACGGCCTAAAGAGCCAAGCTGTGGAGTTGAGTCCCAGATCACAGAGGAGAAGAGAACGAGAAAGCCAAGAAGAAGCCAAGCAGGATGGCACGACTTCCCCAGGGTCTCCTAGAGACAGCGGAAGATCCCCTGGAGAAACTTGTGTGGGTAGAGCATCTCCAAGAGGCAGCACATCTCCAAAGGAGTCTACAGTGAGTGTCTACCAAAAACGAGACAAGGAAAAGGGTAGTTTTCCAGCCAGAACATCAGATATTTCTGAGCATGCATCAGCAAAAGACAAATCATCAAGAGGAAGAGACGAAATTTCTGAAATGTCAAAAGACAAAAATGGAGAGAATATCTCACCGAGACTGAGTAGTCGGGATGCTGAAATAAAACTGACAACCAGTAAAGATGAAAAGTCAGAGATTCAGGACTATACTGAGGCAAATTCCAGCGTGGACACCTCTCCAGAGAGGCAGTGGAGCAAGAAGGCGAGAGCAGTTAGAACATTCTCTTCCGAGATTGAATCCTCTTTCAGGTCTTCCAGTCGGGAGAGGGAGGGCAGGGGCATTGGCAGCGAAAGGGAAAGACGCCCATCTGTGGAGAACCTGAGGGCAGCCATTGAGAGACGGCAGCGTTCATTCTCATCTGAGACAGCCGACAGTGACCAGGAATTACAGAATAATGCCAAGAAGGCCTTGGAGGTCAGGCTTTCTGGTCGCATCAGCTCTGACAGACGGGATTCCACCGACTCAGTGGGGAGCAATAAGCAGTCCCCCCTGGATGGAAGGAGGGAACCTGTGCTAATGCGCAGTGGCCAGAAAAAGGATGACACATCAGTGTCCAGCTTGCGGCGTAAGTTTGTGGCCCAGGAGTTCGGCAGCGCACCGAATGTCACGGAATTGACCACCCTGCTTACAGGAAGGAAGGAGAAGGAACGTCCACGGGAAGGTTGTGTGAAGCAGATGAGTCAGGCATTTACCGTGGCTTCTATGAGCGAGCAAGGAGCAGGTGATATGAGAAGGAGCAGTAAGTCGTCCAGCGTCCGCTCCTCCCCACAGAGCCTCTCCCCAGCCTCCTCTACCAGTTCCCTCTCCAACATCGTGGCCAGTCAGATCAAGCGTCTGCAAGACAAGGCCAGCTCATCCCCTGAGTCCCCGGAGCGGAAGACATCCATCCAGACCAAAAGCATCAAGGACACTGTGCCGTCACTCTACAGCATTCATGGCAGGTTAGAACACAGGCAGTCTCTGACGAATGTAGCTGATGTCCGTGCAAAGTTTGATAAGAGAGAGTCTTCAGAGAGTTCTCCAGTCACCTCCAGGACCAGCTCACCGAGCGATAATCGCCGGTACACAAGAAAAGAGCCCGCCAAACCGACTCTTGTACCATCAGTGGCTGCTGCTCGCATCAAGTACACAGTGTCAGTGAGCAACTCGGAAAATAGTGAACCCCAAAAGAAATCTGTTTCTCTTCATCAGAATGGAAGTATAAAGTCTCAGCGTATGGTTGCGGTAATGGAATCGTCAGAAGCCGAGAAATCGGCCAAGTCAGATTCCACTGTCACTTTTACTATCAATCAGAGTCAGAAGCGGAGGCATAATATGGGGCAGGGTGCATCCAGATTCGAAGAGAATAACAACAGCAATAACAACAATAAAAATTTTCCTGAAAGGTCAGATGCTCATCGTAAAGGTTCTCCAGCAAATCACCCAGAAGCATCCAACAGACCAAATGAGAAACAGGAAAAGAGGGAAACAGAAAACCGAGGGGCATCCAGGAAGAACTCCTTCTCTCGAAATGACAAACACAGGGGTTCACTTCAAAGACAAACAGAGTCCAGAGAATCCTCAAGGCGAGGATCACTGACCAAAGGAAAAGAGTCTCCCAAGGCACCTGCCAGAAGAAGATCCTTCTCAAAGGGCAAGGAGTCTCCTAAAAATGGCTCGCGAAGGAATTCTGTAACCAAGGGCAGGGATTCCAGTAATGAAAGCTCCGTAGGAAAGACCGTTTCAAAGGAGCTAGAGCCTCCTAAGGAAATGTCAAGTCTCCATGTATCGGGCAGCCAGCCAGATGAGGACGAGAGGAGCAGGAGGCGGAGAAGAAGGCGAGAAAGGAGCACGCCTTCCCCTGAGCCTCTGAGACCAGAGTCCAAAGCTAAGACAGATAGGTCTGAAGGGATGGCCGACATTGGGGAAGCAAATAATTCAGATGCAAGGGTCAGCAAACAAAATAATGACAACAGTGCCAAGCAATCTGCCAAAGACACTGCTAATAAGGGGGAAGTTAAAGTAGAAGTTGGAACAGTTAGGTCAAAAGCCAAGCTGGAAAATGAGCAACATAACCATGCAAAAGCCAAACAGGATGTCAAGCATGAGGTAAAATCTGCAGTCAAAACTGAGGTCGGCCAGAGTGGCAGTTCCCCTGCCACACCAGACGTCAAAGCTGAAGTGAAGGCAGAGGCCAATCGTGCAAACAAATCAGAGGCCAAATCTGAAGTGAAACAAGACTGCAAACCTGAAATCACAACTGAAGTCAAACCAGACAGAGCTCAGGACAGGAGGCACAGGAGAGAAGAACGTGCAAGGAGGAATAAAGAGCGGGAAGAGGAAGCCTCAAAAGCCAAGGAAGAAGCTGCCAGGCAGAAGGCCGAAGCAGCAAGAGCCAAACTCAAGCAAGAGATGGAGGCTGCCAGAATCAAAGAAGCAGAAGCTGCCAGGCTGAAGGCAGAGAAACAGACTGAGGAAGCAAAGAAGGCCGCCCGTGTTGAAAGGAGGGAGTCTAAAAGAGCAGAGAGGAGAGGAAAGCAGAGAGAGAAGGCTGTTGCCGGACCTGGGGATACCAAGAAGGCAGCATCTCCGTCAGATCTAATGCCATCTGGGTCCGGTCCATCTGCTCACAGCATTCGTAGGAGACACAGTGAAAGGGAGGAGCAGAAGCTTGGCCAGGTCTCTACCACCTCTCCAAGAGCTACTAAAGGAGGGAAAGAGGAGGAAGATCCCAATATGCCTGACCTCCTGGCTCAGGCACAGAAGAAGGCATCTGCTGAATCTCCAGTGGGTGAAGAAAATCGCAGCCCGCGTGCAATCTTGACCACTTCTGCCCTGAGGGGAGCTGAGGCAGTCATTGGCCATCCACTGCCAAAACCTCCTCCCCCAGAAGAGGAAGAATCCAAGGAGGATGCGGATGATGACAGGAGGTCGAGGAAGGATGCAACACGCAGGAGCCGGGCCATCAATCGTGGCAGTCGCATCTCCCGGCTGGATATCTTCAAGCGGGCCCGCTCAGTCGACAGCTCCAAGGCTAGTAAGGATCGCTCACCAGATCGGTTGCTCGGAGGGGGTGGAGCCAGCAGCAGAGCTTGCTCAATGGACCGGTCAGGCAAAAACCGGGACAAGTCACCTGGTGGAGAGGAGACAAGAAAGGGAGGCAGTTGGTTGTCCAAGAGGACTGGCTCCATCAGTAACTTCCTCCGACCCTCCAAGTAAGTTACGTTTTGTTTGACCTTATACCATGAGAGTAGAAAATTTTCAGTGGAACAACCCTGCCCGTAAATGAGTGCCCTCAGAAAATAATAGGTACATTATATTAAAAGGTTTTATCAACAAAATTCTCTATTCACTCTTTGCAGGCTGCCACCGTAGGCATGCAAAGCCTCAATTCGGGAGATTTACACAATAAATTTAACTGATTCAGTGATCTGCTCCTTTGTTGCTCAGTAATATTGTTTACAGTAATACTGCATTAGTTCTTATACCATGCAATTGGACAATATTTCAAAAAGCTGTGTTGACGTGATTGACGCAAATGTGCAAGCTGTGAGTTTGAGGCTCTGCATGCCTATGGTGGCAGCGTGCAAAGAGTGAATACAACATTATTTTTGTTGTTTGTTGAGGACTTCCACAAATAAGTACCCCAGAAGAAAATTTGTGTTGAAATAACTCATAATTCTTTAGACAATTAATACATTTTTATGATTTTCACAGTAAACTTTGATGTTTTAGAAGAGAAAATGATCTAGAAAGAAATAACACCATGCTTGAAGTTGGATATTTTTATTACTATTGGGAAGCACATGTTGGTAGCTGTAGCATATTTGTGTTTCGTACTGTTACTAATTTCAGTTTGCTAAAATGGCTTGACTAGGGGTAAGCTGACATATAATGATGGTACACAGGCAGACATGGCTAAATAACATGATGTCATAGTCTGCGACTAGAAGCCTGCAGAAGTAGTTGACTGTGTGGGAGAATACTAACATTGGGTCTGGGTGTTTTGGTCTGTAGTCCTCGGGGAGAAATAGGAGTTGATTGTTGTCTTTCCTTACACAAGTTGGTTTGTTTTACAGACTGATCACATCATTTCAAGGGTCTTTGTGAGCTCTGCTGAAGGCCTGTTTATACAGACGAGCGGGAACAGAATTTTGCACAGTAAAATTAGAAGAAATGCAGTAGTTTCTTTATGGGATTACTGACACTGAGAACTGATGATTTTAAATCACATCGTTTAGAAACATACATTTTTGTCAGTCTGTTGTAAAACATTATGCACTGGCTGAGAGACAGTTGGAGCAAGAGTGGATGTGCCTTTATTGTGCCCTCAACTCGTCCTGTTGGGCATCATGTTCTGCGTTCTGTCACCATAATGCTCGTCTGTGTAAATAGGCCTCTACAATTGTGGAATCCTTATTCTGACTTGTAACTCACGCCCTGGTTGTCAGCAGCTGTGATGGAGAGCTCTGGGATGAGCTTGAAGAATGCTACTGCATCTTGCAGAGCTGTGCCAGCATCTACCGGCCAGCGTACGAATACGAAGACATGTGCCAGCTGCGCTTCCTGCGGGAGACCAGCATCCTGACCTAAACATGACCTTGCTTTTAAACCTCTTGACCTCTGATCCTGCTTTGCATGGCATGGTGGTTGTACGTAAGTGTGCATGGCAAACACTAACATGGTCTGGTGTCCTGTCACCAAAGGTTGACTAACTGCAGACAGGGGTGTTAAGTTCCTCTTGGGATCATTAACTGTAGCTGGGAATTACTGGGTAGTCCGTAGGTAGCTTAGATGGACTTGTGTCCCAAGTTTGACTTGTGAGCAGGCAAAATTCCTGAAATTGTGAGTCACAGTACGGATGAAGTAATAAACATTCTAGAGAGAAGGGAACTTTATTTGCAACCTCTCTACCTAATTTAGCCCTTGAAAGACCAGGGGATGTGTTTGGACCAGACAATGAAAGATAAGCTCCGTTTCCGTGAGCCATTTCAGCTGTGGATGCAGTTAGTAGCATACCTTTGGTACAGGAAACAAGACCCAGTCTTAGGAATTACACAGTGAAAGTTTTGTGATTCAGCCAATTGCCGATACAGAAATCAATTCATTCCTATTAATGCACTGGTAAATGTGTATGTCACATAAGTCTACTACCCTGTGAAGTGACTGTCAAGTCTTTTTTGTTAAGTATATTGAACATTTGGATAACCAGTCGTAACATAGTGTCTGCAGTTGTCTGTTGATATGTTGGATCAAAAAATTAACCCTGTGGCATGCATGATGGAATGTGGTCACTGTAGCAGCAACTCAAAATGCAATTTGTGAATTTTAAATAGAAAAACACTGACTCACTGCTACCTCTCGCCAGGTAAAGCCACTATTTTGGAATTACCAAGTAGTTATTTGAAGTCTGGAGTCTTTCTAGCACATTAGTGGCTTGTCCTTCAAATGGTGTCAACCTTATAAAACGTGTCATACATGGTAGAGTCACTGCTCCGAAAAACCAAGTTCATCAAACTTGTTGTCTGTATTCAACTTGTCTTTAAACATTTTGCATTTCTTGGAGGGGCAAGGTATCTACAGTGAAACATTTCCACTTCCAAAATTTCTTTCCAGGGTTTGATGCCTCCTTCAGTAGAAGCTCCTCTCGTCATCCATGGTGGTGTGCCTGTCGTCATCATCCACCTGGCCTCTAGTTGCCGCTGCTTTTCTTGGACAATATTTTTTGTTCCGTCCTCCTACTTAATTTTTTCTTTGGCTTCCATAGAGTTCTTTGCTTCATCCTGCATGGTAAAATCTGTTCACAGGGTCGCATTTTTGATGACAAATACTTAGCACCTATAATTTTGTAGTCGGTTTTAAAAGTATAGATTTCTAGTTTTGTACCAATCACGACAAAGGGTAAGAGTTCATACTGTGAAAAGCATAATATCAAGTTTGTCAAAACTCGGGATTAGTTTTGTTGAGAGAAAATAACTGTACATCTGAAATACTCTAATTTTAATCAGAGACTAGTACATACATGTATAAAAGTTGAATTTGCAGGTAAACCTGGCAAGTTTAGAAAATGCCATTCTTTTTATTAAACTGGGTAAACAATAGCACCAGAAATGTTTGAGGTTTTAATGTTCATCTTCTGTGCAGCACAAATATTTTACTGTAGATCTGATTTACTTTTGATCAATTTTTATCAACTTAATTTCTATGCAAATGTGCTATGCAAATTAAAAAGGTGGAAGAAGTGTGTATCCTTAGATGAGAGATTTGAGTTCGCTTATGCCAAGCAAAACCAAAAGACAGAAATGTAGAATCACTTTTGTATCATTATTGTATGGAGTAAGAATTATAACCTTGATGGATATGTATGACGCCAATAATTTACATTTGTAAATAGTAATGAATATTTAAAGCTGATGACTCCACGCATCCGTGCACAACTCCAGAAGATTAGCCTCGTCATTGAGACGTTATTTAACCCACCTCAAGTGGGCTCTACAGTCACAGTGAAGTTAACGTCAGAAAGTTCAGAGTTGGTGCTATTTTTGTTCTCTGAAAATTTGTTCAACTTCTTTGTGATTGGAGCTAAGAAAACGATATGAAATGTTTTCCAAGCTCATTTTGTTAGTACCTTGGCAAGGACAAGCTTGTGAAAATAATTTGTTTGTTGTCACTGTATAGTTATATCAGAAGTATTTGTTACACCTGTAATGTGTTGGTGAAATCTGTCTGATATAGCCCACCTTTCAAGATTTGCAGTATTTATTGCTTAGACATTAACAATTCAAAATATTCACCGAGTTTTATTGGACCCTAATTTCATTTCTTAATGAACTGTGTAAGAAATCATGGTTTCTATACAGGCTCCAGAGTGTACAGTACTTAATGCAAGGCTCAGTGCCACAGCACTCATTTAGAGAGTCAGGATCCCAGACAGCAGTTATGCACAAGAAATATCCAGCTATTGAGAAATACAGCACCTATATCCCTTTCTTAAATGTAAGGCTTGACACTTGTGACAACGTAGGTAGGAAATCAAGCAATATGTAAATAAAAAATATTATACAGACAGTCATTCTACATTGTCTCTCGTCATAAGTAAGTATTTTAACTATTCCACTTCTATTTGAAGTGAAATGGAGTGAGACACGGCGTGATACTTATGGTGCTAAACATAGGAGACAAAACAAACACAACTACAGAAACTTTAATACCAGTCCGCTGTTTTTACAGCCTGTCATGTTTAACACCAGTGCATCAAATGAGTAAATCACACTAAACCGTGCACGATATGGGGCCGAGGGGTAACCCCCCCCCCACATGTCCGATCACTATACACACTCTAGACTGTTATTACCTACATGCAACACCCCCCCCAGAAGTCTGTAAAGAATTCCTGAGATTCCTATCACACAATGACAAAGACAAAGGGGGAATCAATCAAATCAATCAATCAAATGCACTTCACTGCCAAAAGATTTGCTGAAGAAAAATAAAGCACTGTCTGACACCCGACTCCAAGAGGTGAGTCAATACGACTTTGTACACACTGCCAAACACGAACTGATTATGGTGCATGTATTTTACACACTCCATAATCATTACATGGCACACAAATTTAGGTATTCAGTTGTCAAATTAAACACACAAAGCTACATTTTCATAATCTGTGCTGTGAAATAATAGTTAGTAATGGACAAACTATGATCTGTGTATACAAAAATAAATGATGTAACCATGCAGCTTGTGAACCATGATCTAATTATGCACAACGTTCCAAACAAAAACAATCATCAATCAATTAGTACACTTTCCGTATCGGTGAGCAAACAATTTTGTTTCAGATTCAAATAGAGTTTAATTCACGGATCGACTTGATTAGTTTGATGGTGAGAGTTGCTTGATTGACTGCCAAGATATTAACAAAAATTACTCAAAACTTCCATGGAGTGTTGAGAATAATTTGATCCACTAGCTGCAAGGTTTGCTACAATTTCAACTCGTGCAATTCATAAAATCCTTATATCTCCTGTAAATAGATTAAAGTCTTTCAGTCCTCATAAATATTCATGTATGGAATAATTGGCATCTTTTGAATATAAAATCTAACTTTGTTTTCCTTAGTGTGCCCGGAAACTCCCAAAACAATCTGAAATATAAGTGTGCAGAAGCAAAATGTTACATATTTAAGAAAGTAAGAGCAGAAATGCAGGAATTTTTTTTTTTTCATTTTTCTTTAAACAAAAGGATGCACTACACATGTACTCTCAATCACTCTCCCTTTCATCCAATGTTCCTAACACTTCTTAACAAACAGATTGCATCAACAGTTCAACAAAACATCACCACAGGTCACACAAACACATTACAGGTGCTCACAATATGTAACAGGTGCCATGATAACAATACTGTCAGATTTGTGCGTTAGTTTTTTATGAACCCTTGCTGGAGGAGGGTCCAACATTTTGGGGGAGTGAAATTAGACATAAACAGTGCTGGATGCTATCAGCTTTGCAGTCTGCCATTCATCAAGGTCATTTGAGTCGTCAGAGGGTAAATGTCAACCCGTTTTTTTTTTCCAGTAAATTGTTAAAAAACCTCCATGTCCGACCGTAATTTTATCTTCTTGATATCAACAGCTTAATCTTGGTAGCCAATTTAGCGGCAGGGGCACTGTTAGAATTTTTACGTTCCAGGGCGACTTGTCATCATACGGCCTTAGCCTACGGTGTGCTGTACAGATTGGCAATCTCCTCCTTGAACTTTTCGGCTAACGTCATCCTCTTGTTCTTGAAGGTTGGCGTGAGGAGGTCGTTCTCCGTACTGAAGAGCTCCGCGTGGAGATGAATGGCTTTGACCTGGGAGTACAGGGAGAGACCCGCAGTGGTGTAACTGGGGTACATTTGGCTAGGGTACTCCTGGGGGGTGCTTATTTTCCGGAAGGGGGCACCTGACGGTTTTGGTCAGAGTTGAAACACTGGTCAAGGCTGACTGCCACTACCTTTGCTATCCTCTGATTTCTGAGGGGTGATCATGGTTTACGATGTGCACCTCAGAAGGCAAGGCACCATGCTGTCCCTTGTTCTTACAATACCTGACTGGTCCCCACAAAATAAGTCTTGAGGTTACTTTCTTTTTGGTGATGTTTCAGTTTGCATTGTAAAGAGCAGACCGAGTTCTTAGCTTTTAATGTGTCACTCATTCTGTGATTCATTGGAAGGCCTTTCGCTCAAATATGGCATATTAGCAACTAACGATCCATTGTGCCAGGGTGGTCCACGTAAGGATGACGCCCTCTGAATACATCATTAATGTATGATGGAGGAGGGAGTAAATGGGAACAAGTCACAGGGTAATAAGCTTACCAATTCAAATCCCTTTAGACCAGCCTCCTTGCCATGACTGGCTATCTGATTCAAGATGGCCGCTGTTACCTCCTGCATGTCAAACCGTTGAGGGAAAAAAAAAACCAGTTTGATCTGGACTTTCACAGGCAATGGAGACGAAAGCAAGATCTTTGTCAGAAACTTCATTTCATTCCTAAAAATTGCCATTGATACTTATAAATGTTGCACGAATTGCCACATTTACTTTACTCTGTCGGCAGTCATCGGGGCAGTCCGGGGAAGGCTAACAGGGACCATGGTGCCCCCCCCACCACAAACAGGCTCCTGTTTTTATATTTGAAAGACAATGATGGGCACATTTTTTGCATGAAGAGCTCCAAAATGTAGCCTCATGTGAAATGTGAAAATGTTTTAACATTTATTTCCACCACCAAATAACAATTTGTTCTCAATCTGCTTGTCTGTAATAATCTGCTCGAGCATTAACCATACCCTGCCGACAGGAGCCCGTTTTCTGGTACCTTGTGTTTGTACGCATAGGGTGCCCGAAATCGGATAGAAGAGCTTGGACCTTGTAACAAGAGACCATACTCCGAAACAAAAGACCGAGCTGCTGGGAATTGCCAACATTTTTTTCAGTTCTCAACAGAGAAGGAAATCTGTCATTGTTTTGAAAGATTATACCACTGTTTGTGGCATTCAGCATGAGCAGATTACCACCGGGGACAAAAGCACTCCAGCGCTCCAGTGATGAGCGATACAATACAGGCATATAAATCCATGGAGCTCGAAACAGGGTTCCCCGGCAGCAAGTGGTTGACACAAATTTCAGATGCAAATCAACAGGTCTACTTGCCTTCAGTTCACATAGTTCCTTGAAGGATCCTCGCAGATTATTTCTGGCTGCATAGTGCTTGAGTTCCTCCTCATCCGGCACAATAATTCCCACAAGAAAGCTCTGGAATTGCCAAGCAGACAATGATCACGTGTTATAGAGGAAGCCCACATCCCTAGCTGTATTACTGCTCACGGAGCTACGGGCCAAGTATTCCTTTAGAAGAACCTTGGGCAATGCACAATGATGCCGACCCTCGACATCTGTCGCCCACATAATCTCCATGTTCGTCTGGATGCCTCTGATTGAGACCGCCACAAGATCAATACAAGACTTTCCAGTCTGAATTCAAGTCACAAGCTAGAGGGTGAGCAATGAAAAAGGAACGCTGAACTGCAACAAAAGCATTCTCTCGACTCTGTTCACCCCTTTACTTGTGACTGGTCTTATGACTGGTCTTGTGACTTGTCTTGTGACTGGTCTCGCGATGGTACCGACGACACCACTGATGCCAAACTGAGTGTTACATCAAAGCAAACAACTCAGTTATGACACAAAAGTGGCTCTGCCGACTTCACAGAGAGTCACAAATAACACAGAACAACTTTCTAGAAATGTGAAGGGAAAACAGCAATCCGTCAATTAATTTGCCCACCTGTAGGCTGTCTCCAAAAACAAACGCCTGGGCAACCAGGGGCAGCTGCGTGTAGATGCTCTCCAGTTTCTCCGGAGCGACGTACTCTCCCTGGGACAACTTGAAGATGTGCTTCTTGCGATCAATAATCTTCAAAGTACCATTCTTACAAACAACAACAACAACAAACAACAGTCACCATCGATATCATTCTGATGGAAACATGCACCATCCTCTCCTAAGATTCAGCTCAACCTTTTGTTATGGACGACCCCCTCCATCTTGGTTGATTGAATCTAACATGCTGCTGAATCTTACATGAACCAATGTACCCACTATTCAATTTATAATCCGCAAATCCACTCATTTGTTCACCGGCTTCAACTACGAGCTAACTTAAAAAACGTTTAAATGCCTGTGTGGGCTGCTTTGCTCAGTCTTTCTGGTTTTGATGGTCTGGAGAAACTATCACAAAATGACAAACTACATCTATTCCACTACATCCGCTCACCAAGGTTCCACTGACCAAAATCTCGTGAGTGGACCCTGCATTCCTCAACTGGCCACTGTTGATTGATTAACCCCTTCACACCTGCAGACATCAACATCTGCGGCTTTGTGTAAGGATTAGTGCATACCACACATACATTCTATTCATCATGCACCTGCGGTTTCAATGTGGGCCTGCTGCTGGACAGGGCTTTGTATACTGGGCTTACTGCAGCCCAGCAGTCGCGGTCAAAAGAATCCCGATGTCAAGGGGTTAAGCTACCGGTATAAGCAACACTATCCACTAATTGATCAACTACTATCCACAGTATCCACTCATGTACTGGGCTTACTGACCAAACTCTCCTGAGTGGACCCTGAATTTCTCAACTGGCCACTGTGGGTTGAATTAAGCTACTAATATAAACAATACAATCCACTAATTGATCAACTACTATCCACAGAATCCACTCACCAGGTTCCACTGACCAATATCCCCTGAATGGAGCCAGCCATCCTCGTCGATGGCTTCGCTCGTCCTCTCTGGCATCTTCAGGTAGCCTTTGAATACGATTGGCCCTTTGAAGCAGACCTGTGTTTGAAGTACAACACAAAATCTTTCGACAAACGGTTGCAGCGTACAAATTGATATGCAAAAGATACTTGGTCATGCTGACTTTTTTTTCACGAGTCCTATTGAGGATGGCTACAGGAAAAAATCTCTCATAACTCAATTGTGACCCACTGACTTGTGACCCAGGTGACATCCCATGAGGCAGTGCTGGGGAGCTCCACCTACAAGTTCGTGATTACCTCGCCCTTATCGTCAGCGGCAAAATAGTCCATCTCGGGCACATCCACCAGCTTGATCATGCAAGAGGGGATGGGTGCACCCACATGGCCGGTGGACATGTCGGCAAGGGCCGTCAGGGTGGCACAGGCCGTGCATTCCGTCTGACCGTAACCTTCTGACACCTGTCGGGAGAGAATTGCCATGAACAATTGACTTTCGTGCTTCGGCTTCGAAAACTCAGTCAACACCCTACAGAGGGTTATCAACACACAGGTGTAGTGCTGACCAGCAAGAGCATTTAGTCGAGAGGGTAAACGCAGCTTAGGAGGTCCTTCATGTGGGAAGACCGATAAGGGATAACGGGTCAGACTGGAAAGTGCTGACAGCAGAGACTTCCTGTATGGAGTGTGGAAGAAAGTTCAACTGTAGGATTGTACGTGGGATGACAGAACATTTGCAGTCCTTTTTTTGGTGTGGAGCGGAGTGGAATGAATGTGGAGTGTGACATGCAGCTCCTAGTTGACGTTTATCATGTTCGAAAGCTACCAAGCCATTTACGACCCGGTAGAGGAACGTTAACCTACAGACTCCCTGGCGTTCTTCTAGAGTTAACCAGTCCAGGCTGATTGAGTCCAATCCACTTCCTGTTGTTTGAGGGCATGAAATGGTTTTTTGAATGGTCGCAATTGGAACGGTGCCGATTCGTAATCATAATATATGACTGTTTATGCTTTCCAGAAAGTGAGCAATTTATCTTATTTCCCGATTTATCTGCTGATACAAACCATAGACTGTACGCTTGTGAACTTTGATTCACTCACCAGACAACCAAAGACCACCCTCAAGAATGTGATGACGTCGGTAGAGAGAGGGGCACTGCCGGTGATGATCCACCTCACCCGACCTCCTAGCAGACCCTGAGCAAGGAGAGACAAAAATGCCATGAACATCAGTTCAACATTTCATCAAAGATGTGCAAAACATCTCTGCACTGGAAGTGTTTGGCAGCAGCATCAACAGCTGCCGAACAAAGTGACCACGTTGAGACAACAGGAGCTAGTCCCACTCAACAATGAGCCTGTTTGCTTCACACGGATCCGGATCGTGATCAGTTGTCCAAGAACTGGTTCAGGCTATCCATTAGGCGGGTTCTGGTGTCAGTGAACCAGCGACAGATCACCCATCCCAATCCGGATCCACGTGAAACAAACTGGCCCAAAACCACTGTTGCATCCTGTGGTGACTGGCGACCACAGACTCTGAGGCACTTTGGGCTTTGGGGGGAGTTGACCCGTTGGATCTTGTTACACTGGGCAGGCAAGCCACTTGAACAAATGATGCAGGATGACGTGTCTGGCAGGGTTTCTAGCCAAAGTAAGATGCAGGGTTAGGGGTAAAATACTTCTGGACAAAGCTACGACGCACGTGTTTCTTATGACGAAATGCTGTACACGAAATTGACCATCATTCCATTCACGTGTTTAAGTGCAAACACCATCCCATGACAAGCTCTCCACAAATCTTCACAAGGAATTGAAAACAAGACAAAAAATAACCCACCTGGACTTTTCTGAATACAATCTTGTCCCAGATGGAGTCATTCCGCACAATACCCCTAGAGACAAAAAAAGCACAGACGATGTTTCTCACAACAGTTTTACCATAAGCAAGATAGCAAAAAATAGCAAATGTCATGTGACTAGCTCTGGTCCAATCAAGATACAGTATCTGCAGTTGCGGTGTTAACCCCTTGACGCTGGTAGACGGCTACAGCCGCAGCTCTGCGTGAGTAGTGCATACCACACATACATTCTATTCATCATGCACCTGCTGGTTTAATGGGGCCTGCTGCTGGACAGAGCTTTGCATATTGGGCATACCGCAGCCAAGCAGTCACGGTCAAACGAATCCCGGCATTAAGGGGTTAAAAGTGAGTCGTACTTCTCTACTTCGGCTTTCTTTTTGCTGAATGCCAAGTTAAACAGAGTCCTCTTGATCCAACCAGCGCTGTTTACTGATGTCATCACCTGAAAATCAATGGAAACGGCAACAACAGACATGGTGAGTATTGCTTGAAAATATACGCACAGCAAAGATATCACGGCATGGTAAATGCGCACACCTTTTGGGGGGGGATTGGGAATACTTGTACCCACACAAAATACATCCCTTTCACATTTCTAGCCAGATTTTCAGAAAATTTCAATTATTAACAAACAGGTCATGATGCTTGTTCACTAAGTTGCCCGGGTGAATTTTTTTTTTGGGGGGGGGGTTTGCTGCACAAAAATTAGGCCACTGCTCAATTTGCATCCCAGGGATTTCACAGTGGACTTGAAGAATCAGCCGGCGCAACACGCCTTGGAATGTCTCCATTGTCAGTGTGTGTAATACCCTGTCGTATATCCTGTTCAGGAGACGTGGCACCGATGGGAATACAGTCGGCCGCAGGGCCTGGACGTCGTCCAGCAGCTTCTTTATGTCACCTTGGAAGAAACCAATCCTGGCCCCGCGTTGTAAAAGGATGTACTGCAATCAAATCAGCAAGCACAAAAATCAGCTAATCCCCTCTATGTCAAACAATGTCAGGGTTTAACAGTGGAGATCCCCTTATGGATGTCAAAAGACCCCTTAAGACCATCACAGACCATCACAGACCCAAATAACCATTGCAAGACCAACACAGGACCTCCAGTCTGAATTCAAGTCACAAGCTACTGGTATTCAAATGAACTGCAGCAAAAGCATTCATCTCTCCATCTGACTGGTCTTCAGAGGAGTCTTGTAACAATCTCCACTACAACAATGCCTCTCGCAAATAATACTAGCCGACAGAAAATATTCATAACATTTGTGTGCTGTGACCAATACACTTGGATTTCTCATAAAATATCCAGAGGGAAAACTCTAACCGTTTTCCCCCAAGAAGTCCTCTTTATGCTTTATAATACTTTTATATTACCGTATTTGAACAATGGGATCTTGGCACGGGGAAATTGTGCTACTGGTCATATCAAAAGAACACTCAATTAACAAAAGAGAGCGTTGAGGGTTATTAATTCTTTTAGCAAGTTCCAACATTCAAATCCGCTTTTCTGTAAACGTAAAACTGTAAAGATCAATGATATTTACTCTCTTCAGCTTGGAGCCTTCATGCACCGTTTAAATAATAACACACTTCCAAATCCAATAAAACAGATGTTTTCTCGAAATGAAAACATTCATCACTAGTTTATCCGGCAGAGTAAAGAATGTCATAGTTCCTTTGCACGGATTGCGGCATTCCACAAGACAGTCCGACATGAAGGCCCCAAGCTCTGGAATTCCTTACATAACTCATTGACCAGCATCCGCAGTCTTTCTCTGTTAAAATTTAAGCTGAAGACCTTATTTCTATCCAACTCTTCCAGCTCTGAGTAATTACTCTAATGGGCTACCACTGTACAATTATTCATTCCTGTCATCCTGGATATACTGGCATTTAAGTGTCATTTTGTATGTTATTGTTACTTGTCAATGTCATAATTTAGCTAACTCTAACGTCTTTAGTTCAAGGGGATTCTATTTGACAAGCCTTGCTTCTTGGGGATCTCCTTCCACATCGTATCTCATGAACATGTATCTTGTATTTGTCTGACAATCTTGCCGGTTCCAATTCAGTTTAAGGGACATTGATGATGTAAAGATGTAATGTCAATATTCATGTCTACATTGACATCAGTGTTATCCGATGAGGAAAAAATAACGAACGAGTGAACCTTACAAGCCTTTCATACTTCTCTGCTTAATACAGATCCAGAGTAGTCAAATATACAGGTTTTTTTTAAACCATTCTCATAAAAGGCCACCATTCTCAAATTTATAGTGCACTCTCAACAAACCACATGCTAGTTTCCCAATGGATTCTGATACCTTAACATGCTGACTGCTGCCCATAATTTCACAGGGCTTTCCCATTTGCCAGATGTTGTACACATGCACATTACGACTGCCTTTCATTCCCTACGAATATACTTGCAGCGGCAGATTCTGGTACACCTGTCACAACAATTTACTTGAAGTCGGCAGTTAATGTGTTAAAATAATGCAACAATTCAAACTGCTCACCATCACAAGACGCTCGTATTGATGGGCCAAGGGTAGGTACGACAGGTGAATGTCGTCTTTGGACATCCAGTAATCATTCTGTGAATAAAAACAAACAACAAAATCATAAAAGAAAAGCTTATTCAAGGAGATTTTACAATGGACCTGAATTGACCTCCCTTTCAAACTGCTTCAAGTATGAAGAAAATGAAAATCTTACATTTCGCCTGATGTGTACTCACAAACACTGCAGGGTCAGCATTCTTGGAGGCTAGCAAAATAATTCACCAGCTTACTAGGGATGACCTCGAACCCAAGACCTTCTGCTTACACTATGACTTCTCACCACTCCACCACCACCGCGAGTCAAAAGAGCAGCCGACACAGTGCAAAATATTTTCCTACACATTCATATTTTCGAGCACGGCAGAAGGTCTTTATCGTGGGGCAGAAAAATGCTGTTAAACAAAGAGCTTACTGACCCCTACGTACACCTGCAGTCCCTTGCTGTCGTTTAGGAAGTTGTCGTGCGTCATACGTGCTCCTTTTGGAATGCCTGACAAGTACAACAAAAACTTTACTGAGTCACTGGTAAAAACGGATTATAGAGAACATGATTGGAGTGCTCTTTGAACAAATATGCATGAAGCCAATAGATCACATTACATTTGCCCTGGAGCATAGCTGTAAATGGGTCATAGGTCTGTGAACAATGTCACAAGCTACTCAAATTGACTGAGGAAGAGGCATTTCCAAGCAACATTTTTATCCAGTTTCCAGCCCTATGATCTCGCAACGGACTTGTGACCTACTCAATAAAATCTGGTGCACTGACTTCTTCAAATTCATGTGAATGTAACAATTTGAATTCTCCATACTAAAGACACTGTTGCTACACCTTGTGATTGGGAACAAGCTTACTTTAGAGACACCTTGCGCAATGCTCTGTCTTCAATGGATAAGAGCCAGTCCATTCCAGAGATGGTGGAGGCTATGCAAAAGCTTGCCCCGAATCATGAAGTATAGCAACAACATCTTTAGTCTGGGGAATTCAAATCCTTATGTTTATGTGCAATCAGATAACTCAGTGTACCAGATTTTATACCAATTTAAATAGCAAAAGATTTATACCTCCACTCTACTGTATAACAAAGGCTCATTTGTTTTTGTTTGCGAGGCGCACTCAAAAATCTGGAAACAAAGTGGTACTTGTACCTGCACTCCCTTTGTATCACTCAAATGCATTCTTGTCAAAGTCTGACTATTTTTCTTTTAATCTAATCTTATTTGGTTTAAATTCCAACTTGAAAATAGAAACTGCCTTCTGAGCGCCGTGTTTTTTTTTCACCTATCCTGACCTCAACAATCAATTGCCAATGCCAGAACAATTTTGGCGTCAAGTACCTGTCGTGCCACTGGTAAAACAAATGGAAACAACATCGTCCTTCTTTGGGACCTGTGTGGATAAAAATAAACATGACATCACTCTCAACTGCACAGAAGAACATTTTGATCTTCCCAAATTTTGCACAAATGGGGACTTTTTCCTGGTTACTGAGTTTACCCAATTTTGTAAACATGGCTATTACTATCGAACCTCGTTAATAATAAGTCATTCAGACTTGGCAGATTATCTTGTATTAATAGGAACCTTGCATATCAGGAATGAAAACAATGAAGAACAAACGACATGTAAAGATTTCCTTGTTCGAAGCAAAATCTTGTATTAACAATGTTCACATGCACAAGGTTCAACTGTATCTGCTTTTGGACCGTAACTTTTCATTTCCTGATGACAATATCCTCAAAATAACATCTGTACGATAAGGGCTCCAACCAAATAATCAGGCACGCAACTTGGACTGTAACAAAAGACGAGGAAATTTCCAATCTTCACGAGACTTTGTACTAGGTGGTTTTTTTTTCAATTTTCAATGGCACGAGTGAGAGATGAAAAACGAGGAAATTGACTCAACTGAGGGAAAAGAGTTGTGTTCCTGTAAAAGGTGAAAAACAAAGAATCATCGAGCCAAAGCTGCCAAACATACCACAGGCTCTTGACGGTTGTTGGTGCCAATCTCTAGCATGTCTCGGTACAGGACCAGCTCGATGCCACGTGCCTCCAACGCCTCCTGCTTGTCCTCCGGGACAGGCCCCTCGAAGATCACCACCAGTTTGACTGCTGAGCCCTCCCCGAGAATGTCCAGCAGGATGTCCAACTTGGGGGCCTTGTCAATGAATATGGCCCGCATTTCCGCTGTCGGAGAACAAACGGGCTTTAACTGTCAGCTGCAAAATCTACAGATGCAAAAACAGCTGCTGGAGAACAGAATAAACTTGACATTGAAATCAGGTTATGGTTACTTTATCACTCTTAAAACGAAGCAGGTTTTTGAAAGACAGAAAACAGTTTGGGAGAAGACATATCTTGAAATTGACTTCAGCTGTGGTCATTTCAGCATTAATAAGCCACATCAGTGAAGGCTGTAGGTTTATACATGTACACTTTCAACAAAACAGGTTTGACCTTGTTTTCCATGACAACATCTGTTTGCCGATACATGTATCTAGTGATAAGATTGAAGTAAAGCAGCAGCTTTACTTTAGCAAAAAAGAGAGTCTTGTGTTTATAGCACGGGTTAGTTACCCCAAGATGTCTGACTTATTTGTTCGAGACAAGTCCTGAATTGTTTTTTTTTTTTACAAGTGAAGTCACAAGTCACCGTTTTCCAAAGTCAAGTCTCAAGTCGAAAAACTGTAACTTAAACAAGTCTTTCTGGTCAACAGCTGTGGCATCCAGACTCACTGAGGTTGATAATGTGCTTGCAGGCTTCGATGCCAAGTGTGTCGTACAACGCCACGGCAACCATGGAGTAGGACATACAGGCATGGTCCATGATAATCCACTGCAAGGACAAAAGGAAAAAAATGGACGACATCCTCTTAAGTTCTGGCCCAAGAGATACCAAGGGGTGACCTATAAAAATATCCCAGAAAATATGGCCAGTTTTGCGGCACGTGGTCACAACTTACCTCCGGCCTGTTCTGTGAATAGACACCGATGTTTGTGCCATTGCCCGGTGGACACCCCTTCTTTATGAGGGCAGAGCCGAGTTGGAATGCCATTTCTTTCACCTGCAAATGATGAACAATCAACATTTCTCTTATATGTGCCCCAAATTTCTCCATCATCAGAAGGCGTTCTACAGGTAAGTTCCTAATTTGGGGAGAGGGTATCAAAATTGGAGTGGATGTAAATATTACGGGCATCACTAAATGCTTGGTAAATCTTAAACATTCATTCAGTCAATAGAGTATTCTAAGATCAGTCAGCTGGTGCTTTATCAACCATTTGCGACTAGCCATGTGACACGCTCTTGACCAATAGGAATGGCTAAACAGGTATTCATGAATAATGGTTTCAATACACCAGATTCTGACAACTTCTGACTTCTCAAATTCAATTAACACTGATCTGTGCCTGGTGGCCCTCTCCTAACCCTTGTTATCACCCACCCCCCCCCAAAATATATCCCTCTGTAAGTTCTATGCATGTTCTTTGGCCTATGCCTGTAACCCCAAAACACAGAAACAATGGGGTATGTTTTCACAGTACTAAACCAAAACCATTGGTTCATTTTTTCTCCCGACGGTGACTGTGTTCAGAGATTTGACTAACGCATCATCGTGCCTACTTCTTGCCCGATTAAAAGTGCCAAAGAGTCCAACTGACAAGAAACCACCGAACCAACTTTTCGGCCGTGGCCACAAGAGCACCTTCCCCTGCCCTTGTGTGTTTGCATTTCTCTTCACCTGGCTGTAGGTCAGCCACTGGAAAGGTTCGTCTGAACTGTCTCTCCATCCAAGGCACGGCCCGTCCCCTGAAGAAGCCACAACAAAGACACGGCACTGCCAATGCATGAGGTCAATTCCAGAAATTAGGTACATGTAATTTGCATTAATTCATCACTCTTGGAAATTAGAAAATGTGTTCTGGACTTACAAAATCACATGTCAGATAAGACAGACACACACACACACAAAATGGACGCCTAATTTCTGGAATTACCCATGTATGTACATGTGTGTGTGTGTTTATATGCTGTGATTGTGGGCCTACTCCAGTGCAACAGGTACACAGCTGTTCCACTTTGGAAGTTTTATGTGCCTAAATTGTGCCTGTAGCTACCACTCGGCAAAGAAATAAAATTGACAATAAAAATTAAAAAGTAAATGGAAACAAAACCCCCCAAAAAATCATTACAGAACTGCTATAAAACTATGTGTGCTTCCAAGTAGTCCTTGTGAACATGAACATATGCTCGTTTAAAAATATTTTGTCTCTTTTCCTGATGCAAAATGCCAGTACTATGTGGCTGGGCCTTACCTCTCGGCAAAGAGATAAAATAGACACAAACAATTTTTTAAAAATTGAAATCCCGATAAAAATCTTTCCGGAACTGCTATAAGAGTGTGTGTGGTTCTGTTCATCATTCCTCGTCATTATGAACACCATACGTCTATTTTTTTTGTTACTTTGTCTCTTTTCCCGATGCAATACGCCGGATCTATGATCCCATCCGTAACTCACAAAAAGGGCAGAAATTCTGCAAATTCAGAGCTCTCGACAAACTTAACTGCTCATCCAATACCTACAGCAAAAGACTAAAGATGTCCAGGACCATTTATTCCTAGTTCTCTTTTCGAGGTTCATTTAGTTTTAACTTTTTTATTCCCCCCTCCACGAAACCTTAATAACTTCCGAACATTCATCCCCATTAGACAGCACAAAATAAATACCATTTTCCAACTTTGGACTAGAATGTCAAAGTTCATTTAGTTGTCAATTTTTCTAATTCTAATTATCTGAAAGCTTGACTGAACATGACTTTTATCTCCAACTGATGACAGCCCAAATCAACCTGATACCTTCAATCCATTTTCAAACTTTGTACAACAATGTCAGAGTACATTTAGTCGTCAATTCTTTTATTCTAACTCTCTGTAAGCTCGACAGCACATGAATTTCATGCCCAAGTGATAACACAGACGAACCTGATGCCTTTAATCCAAAGTCGAGAGCCTCATAGCAGGTACTGATCTTTGGCTGGTAGCCATCTTGAATCACCAACTGCCCGTTCCTGTAATCGTTCAAAGGTGACACGTGGATATGCTCTGGCCCCTGGAATTATGAGAATAAAGTATGACGCTGTTTGAATCAGTGCCAAACTGCATTTCTCTACAGCTAGTATAATTGTACATGTAATTTAGAAGCACCTTTATTTTTCCCTTTGAAAGCAAATTATTTTATTAATTTTGCCACTCCATCCCCAGGAACTAGTGCCTTCTGCCGAGCTCAAATTGCATGAAAGGAACGCGAAGTACTGTTAGTAATCTTAAGTCATCCATCAATGGATGTATATTTTGTCTCACACTTTGTGGGGCAGCAGATGTCTTGACCCCCCCTCCCGGTTCCTGTTGCCAATTAAGGCTAGTTCGCATGCACTACAAACGCTGACAACTTTGAAAGTGTTATTTTATGGATTATTCACTTTATATCTTTTGACATGAAAACAGACAAAATGAACAGTGGATGTCAAGGAAGTACATCAATATAAAACTGTCATCAAAAAGAGGTACTTAACCGGACACCTGTTCAAAGAGGTAAAAAAAAATACAAAATAATAGAGTTAGTAACATAATAAATTTGTAAATGCATGGAATAAAAAATCCAACACAGGGTAACAACCCAAAAGATATAAAAAGATGTTCACTACAGGAAAGCAGTCAACTTTAAGACAAGCCTGTGGTGTAGGAACAAGATTGGATACAGACCCACACAACCTGACCAAATAAAACAAACGGAGAGTCAAGATATTGAACAAACGACCCTCCAACCCCAACTCTCCGCACTTCAAACATCTGAGCAACTGCAAATGTTTTGCAGCATCAAGTTCTCTTGACATTGGCACATATAGTTTCCTTGAAATGCTTATCTGCCTATACCACCTTCAAGTAAAGTTTGTCCCATGAAAGTTCAACAAACTCTGCAGTCACCAACATACAGACTTGTTGCCAAGTCAAAGTGATTCATTGTTTGTTCTACAAAAAAATACAATCCACACGGTATACACTTGTGTGGGGGACGTTGGTTGCCTCGTCCCCAACGTGCAGATAAATGACCATCGAGTAAGCCAAAATAATTTGGCCTGTTGTGTTGCTTAGCTTACAATGGAGCTGTGCAGATGGATTCGGTCTGAAGTTCATGGACAAAACACATCTTTCAAACAACTTGTCATCAAGTCTATGTTGAACTGGGCTGTGGGCAGAAGTAAGGCACTCATAAGTAGACAAACATCCTCTTGGAGATATCTACCAGTAGCACTTCTAGTCCTTGGTAAATTCCTACGTGCAGCATGCATTAAAGCCAAAACCCAGTGAGCTTCTTTGAACATACTCAGTATGGCAATGTTTTGGTACACCGGGGCGTGACCACTGACCACTTGCGGTGGTGCATAGTTTGACCACTGACCACTTGCAGTGTACATGTACATGTACGACCGACCAAAAGTGGGTGTGATTGGATAAAATGTCAAGGTTAAAGTCCAAATTAGGCAAACTCCCGTCCATCTACTGTACGCACTCCAGCTTTGTGCTCATGCTTGACATGACTGACGGTGTTTTCTCACGTGACCTTGGTATGTCTGATGGAAAGCTGATGACAAAACGAAACTGACAGCACAAGTACGGACGAGCCGTGGCCTTGACAAACTTTGCACTAGCTGCGGAGGTCGCCACTGGTTTTGGAGGAAGCAACTGAAATTGTCTTCACAGAAGAACTGAATTTGGTGATCCCTTCTTTTGTCAGCCTTCTATGACGAATCCAGTGACCACAGCAATGCCATGACTGGCCATATGCAGTGCCCTCCCCCATTAACTGTGGTGACTGCATTACTACAACTACAAATACAGAGTCACTGTTCCGTGAAACTCGCTCTTTACAAAGACAAATACAAGCTAAGTGAGGAATTCTCCGCATTCCAGACTTACGCCCAAGAATAACCCCATGAAGGACCAACAAGGTTCGAAAGCTTGGGAACTGCAGCATGTTGGGAAGCGCTGCTTTTCAAGTTTTCCCACAAGTTACTGCTGGATTTGTCTGCAGTGCTATGCTGTTTCTGCGGTTTGCTGATGGAACAGAGAGAAGGCATCAAATGATCAAACTAATTTCCCTAAGGCATTGTTTCAATTTACAAATAATGTACATGTATGTACTATTGCAATGTACAGGAATATGTACACCTGTACATATGTATGTATGCAATCCTGCTATTTTTTCATTAACTATATTTGACAGGAATTTTTAATTCCTTTTCAGAATCCAAACTTTGAGATCAAAAATTCCAGGGGCGTTTTCCTGCCACAGTTTCATTCTACTCAGCAAGAGAACCTCAAATTCTCCATCTGTTCAGGAACATTAAATTCCCTTTTACTGTAGTCTGCTGCGTATGGTCTGACTGTGGTGTGACCGGCCTTCTGATCTCAGGCAACAGCCACACTGCATCGTATGACTGTACATGAATCCCCCCCCCCCCGGTTTCATCCTCACATGTTTATGTATGTATGTTAATGCCACTTGGCAGCGCGCCCAATGTGACATCACTCCACGCTGTTGATGACAAAACCAGTCTGGCTTACATGTATGAGTGTTGCATAAATATTGAATGTTCCATTATATTAAGCTGTTGGTTCCCCCCACCCCGTTTGTCCACTGTGACAGAGAAAGAAACCATACAGCAACACAATAAGTCGGGGTACAGTATTTCTGGATTGTCTTTCTGAATAGACTGAGAGGGGGGGTTTGGAACTTTATGACTACAGGAGAATTGAAACCTTTATTCCATTTCTGCTGGGAAAATTATGGAGGATGGGACGGGGTCCTCGAGGTAGACAGAAGGAGGAAATATCATCCAGTAGATTAACTTTTGACCCTGTGTAAACACCGATATAACAATAATAACATTTATAAAGCGTATTTTTCCGAAGGTTACAATGTGCTGAAAAAAAAAAAACAACTGCCGGAAAGTAAACCAGGTGCTAAGACAAAATTAGTGGGAGCAGACGACCAAATCCTAGAGTGGAAACAGATGAGATTTAAGTTTACATTTGAACTGTTGTAGGGAGTTGCAGTTACGAATACTAAGAGGTAATGAGTTCCAGCATCTGGGTCCAGCAATAGAAAAAGCCCTGTCTCCTACTTTTTTGAATGCATGTGGTATTTTTAGGTTGTGTTTTGAGCGGAGGTTACTTCGGTTAGGTTTGCTGAGATCATATACCTGTAATGGCCATGTGATAACAATTCACAATTCAACAATAAAAATTCACCGAAAGGCTTACCCTTGTGTATAAATCACACTATGTTTCACATTTTACGGGTGCATGCGTCTTTAGAGAGACCAAGGCATCATAATTCACTTTGATCACTTGGTAACACTCTTCCACAGAGTACATTGTAAGTTACAAATAGTACAAGTACCTGATATTCAGATATTAGAAACATTCATTCCCTAGGACGAGACTGAAACCTTTAGATTGACAGAGTCGTTCAGTGGGTACACGACGGAAGAAATCGCTTTGGTGCAAAGCGTTAGTTCTTAGAGGAGCTTGGGGTGAGAGGAATGCTTGATGTTTTGAATGGCGTCTTTGTTTTCAGGAGATCCAGAAACGGCGAACACTTTTGGGGACACTTTTCAGCCAAAGTTTTTCATGCTGTGGTGTACCCACATACCAACTCCCTTATACAACCCAGCACAGACCAGCCAACCGCGGAAAGCTTCAAACATACATAACAAACCCTGTGTGGTCTCGTAGCGGACTGGTCTTCAACACGAACGAATGCCAACAAACGTCCATACAGTCAGGAACAAGCTCATTGTTGGCAAATTTACGCACATGCACTGTACATGTAGACCTCAAATGCCGTAATATTGGTACAGCATGGGAAATACCTGCTCGACGCATACATAAAATGCACAAGACATGCCGCTTGTAAACATGAAGGTGTCATTTAGTTTCACAGTGACTGACAGTGGGAGAATGATTTCAAAGGGGGAGGTGGGGGACATTTGTGAGACCATCAGGCATCAGCCATTAAAGAACCTGCCAAAGGTGGGGGTTCTCCCCTTCCGCTTTCCACTGCCGGCGACAACGTAACTGCCTAAGTTACATGCACATGTACGAAGCTCAACAAACCTACTAGTGAACCAATACTTACCGGCAATTCCACAGATTGTCTGTCCAGGGAGAACGCTCTCTTGACCGGCTCTGGCCCGTTACTCATGGCCATGCTAGCAGCACTCAACGCGGCAGCCGTCACTCCAACCGTCAACAGAGGATGTTCAATACAATACTGGAGGACGCTTTCCATCCTGTAAAAAAAAAAACCCCACAAAAAAACCGCTCCGTGATTTGTTACATATCAGGATGTAAAGTATGTACATGTATGTGCATTACATGATAACAAAACTTCCTGTTCAGTTTTTGTGGCTTAACCCTAACCGCCAAGCATATCGTTTGGCTCACACTGCACAGTCCTATAAAACACTAAGTAGTAGTCTGAGCCTGAAGGACCTAGCGCTACAGATCACTACTTCTGGCTAAGTCACTTCCATTGTTACTTCTGAAGACATAGCGAACCCAGTTGGCTCCAATTGCCTGTGTTCAGCAAGTGCTTGGATTCCCCAGCAGTTTGTTCAATCCCACTATGAAATGGTATCAACCAGCTTCGCTTTCATTAGTTCTTGAAAAATACAACACCAACCTTCATCAGGCTTCACAATTGCAAATACATCATTACTGCATCATAAATGGCCACGCCTCCATTTGGCAAATTGCCAAATCCTTCCCTTGGTAGGCAATTTAAGGGGTTCCACCTGCTTGAACACTTAGTTTCAAAACAGGCTGATTATGAACGTCGCTATACCGAACACCGCTATACCAAACATCATCCTTGGCTCCCAGTATTTTGTGCACAAAACCTACCGATCATGCAGTCGCAAATCAACCGACATTCATCAAAGCATGCATCAGAGATCGATCCTGAGCAGTAGCTTCACAACTTTTAGGATAAACTAAATATCAATTTTGTAACTCAAGATTTAATAAAAAACAAAAATAATTAACAGATGCATTTCTAGAAACCTCAAACGTGAATGCAACAGCAAAACATCACGAAAACAGCAAATCATAGTATCACAAGAGGGTGCACTTCAGTTAGATAAGAGAGGGCGCCATTCAACATGGCAATGAAACATTCCGCAGTTGATTTCGCTAGACCAAACAACCGCCCTCTTGACCACCAAAAAGATTCAAAAAGCATACAAACCGCTTGGAATCCTGAGGTTCACAAAGATCCATACCCAACATCACTGTAAAGCAGTCACGAGAGTTCTGCATATGGACGCTGCATTACACCCTGTGCACAAACCCTATGCAGCTGGGTCCAAAAAATTTGAAGTGATTTCTAAGGAAACCACTTGTTATTTTCCCTCCTAAAATGAGCTTTTCTGGACATGTTTTTGCTTTTTTTAATGGCTATTAAATAGCTATAACTATATCTATACATGGAACTCTTCCCGCAGTAACTTTCTGAAGTCAGACAGGAACACATTTCTGATAAAGAAAAAGATAATACCCACCGCCTCACCCAGTCCTCGTGAGCTGCACACGGCTTGCAGATCAATGCAAAGGCCTACATGTGCACATTCTTGGTACACCCACCTTTACATGTAACTTGCAGGTAGGTGGGTGCGCTTCACAGAACATTTTGCATATGAATTCACAGCATTTACGAATGAATGGTTTTTGAGGAATGGAATGACAGCCCAGACTTACAATGCATAGTCAGAGCAGACACAATGCACTGCATTGACAGGTGGACTCCATAAAACTCTTACATAACACTCCCCTCCCGACCCAATGCTTTTTTGGCTATACAAGCTCATTTCAACCGGCGCCACTCTTTGGCTCGGCTCTAGAGGAAGCCCTTTTGTGAAACTGTGTGGCTGGTAGGGCCCTTCTGTAAAACTGTGTGGCTGGACGCTTTCCAAACCACACAATACATGTAGTTTTGTCTTTCTTTGCTATTTTTCTCAGTTCTGGCACACACAGGGCACGTACATGTACATGTAGTCTGCCATAAGTGCAAACCTAACCCACACCATCACCGCCAACAGTGCCACTCTTTTGGGTTGGAACATCCCACACCAAAAACAAGAAGAAAACGAGGCTTTCCATGCAAGCTCTGCTTTTGGAAGCATGCCTTCACCCACTCAATTTTTTGTCTCCTTAATCTAGCCTGTAATTTTTTCCGTATATTTATTCACATATCTACATATACATTGCTTATTTCCTCTTTGTTTTCCACATCAAGTACATGTTTATTGTATATTTTTGACCAAAATTTTTGACCATTGTCCATGTGATTGTTCTAAGTAGGATGGTTTTTTTTCTGTTTCAGTTCATTATCTGAGCATTCTTTGAGCACCTGCTACACGCTAAAACTTAATGTGGTTAATAAAAGTTCAATTTTGCTTCTTCATTTATCTTTTCCTACTCATACATGTCATTATGTCTACTACACACTATTGGAACAGTAGTTTTATTTAAAGGGCACCTCTAAGGAAACCACATTTTCTCTGATTTGATCTGTTCAAATAAATAGGGAAGCATCCAAACGAACCCAGTGTCAATTGTCTTCAGAGCTCAACTATAACGAGCTTAAAATCTAGCCATTGTTTGGCATGTACACAAGGGTTTATCCACTACGAACACAGGGCGAGGGCTCCCTTGTTTTCTGTGTTTTCTCCGAATGAAGCAATCAACTTTCAGAATTTGTATCTTGGCATGAACAGAAAAAAAAACCTTTTAAGCTTGTTACAGTTGAGCTCTGAAGACAATTGATGCTGGGCTCAATTTGGATGCTTATATATTCATTTGAACAGATCAAATCAGAGAAAACATGTTTTCCTTAGAGGTGCACTTTAGAGCTGGACATTGATAAATGTTGCCACAGTACAAACTGAAATAACAATAATTGTGACAAAAAAAGATGACATCCTCGTCCGTGTGCATTAGTAACAAGTTAATGCATTATCTACATGTATGCATCTTCCTGCCCACAACAATCGGACATCAAATAATTTGACAAGCCTGACCCCTCCCCCCAAAAAATTTCTGGATCTGCCCCTGCACTTGGTCAGTGTCCTTGGATGCAACCATCTTTCTTCTTAAAAACAAGTGGTTTTTCAGGACCTCTGCCAGCAGTAATGCTGTGTTGGCACCAATCACCCTGCCTCATAATTTTCGACATCAGTTTTATTTCTAGCCCATCTGGCCAACATACAATTGATTTGGAATTCCTTTCTAGGTGTATTCTAGAGCCTATTTTTGGCTTCCAATTATAGACCATTCAAAGAGGAAAAAAAGAAATGCTGAGAATGACAAAAACCACTTAGAACAAAGCAAAGAGCTTTCGTTTTCCTTTGCCTTTCAGTGCTATTTTTCTGTGCAAAATTTTTTAGGGCTGTACCGAATATCTGAATATTTGATAGATTGTCAAATATTCGAATATTACTTTTCGAATTTAAATATTCGAATGCAAAATGCATGAAGGAAGGGAAAATTTTATTTTTTTTTTAATGAATAAAATTGCACTATGGAGGCTTGGTTCAAGCAGATTCAAATAAAAAGCATCAGGAATCTCACAACGATTTAAGAAGTAAATTATTCATTAAACAATTTGAAAAGAATAGAAATTTTCAACAGGGCAAGAAGTCTTGTTCATCTCTTAAATCTTGCTAAATTGTGGCTGGAGATACTCCTAGATGTGAGAAGCAATAATGTTGATCATGATGTACAATTGCATTGCCTGGAATACTACCTCCCCCCACAAAAAAATAAATAAATAATCCGAGATTGCCCACAGACAGTAAATCAGAAGTTATAACAGTACTTTTTTTTCAAGATTTGTCCAAGGTTTCCAAACACAACCTGCTACCTACAATGGATCGTTGGCCTGTGTATCATAGCACAGGGGTGTCACCCACTGATATTCCCAGTCTTTCAACAAAATCAGGTGATATGCAGTGCCTATGCACACATTCTGTTATCTCTTGAACTAGAGTTCATAAAAAAAAAAGATACCTGGGAGTGTGTCGATAGCTTTATCTGGGAGTGTAGGCTGTACCCTACAAGGCTACACAAGCACAGGGATGGGCTTGAGCCATGCTGAAAAATCACGATGTACCAATTCAGTGTGCAATGCTACATGTACATGTATGTACATGTACATATAGATTCAGTGCACGTGCAGCATAATGAGGGAATTGTTTGGTATGAATTTTGCAGTTGAATTTTTCCACGAACTCTGAAAACAGGTACACTGTAGTAGGGGCAAGTCATCAGGCCTAAATGCCAAGATTACAAAGTTTACCCACACCAAGTTAACTGCAGGGCTACTTATCAGTCAACGCCTTCAAGTCATCCACCAAGGCTGACTGGACACTATATAAAAGACTGAAGTCAAGACCTTAAAAACATCTAATAGTGTGACAGCTTTCAACATGCACCCTCATTGGTACTCTCTAAAACCATGATGGTACAGTCGCCAGGTCCCTTATTTTGCCACTTACTGTGAAAACCAACGAGACTTGACAAAAGAGACCTGGTGACTGTCATGACTATAGGGTCACCGATGTTACTTGTGTAAGATTTATTGGGAGAGTCATCAATAAAGTGGAAAAAATACACTAAAAATTAAAAAAACACTTCACACTAAAACTGGTATCAAACGAGAAAAGCAGACCAAAGTCAATTTGAAAGCTTGAAGTTGTGTAGCATATTTCTAATACTTCCTTGATTGATTGATTGATCTGATGAATTATTTCCTGTTAAGTCCGCAAACAGATCAAGGGGCAAGGAAATAATGTGACTTTCCTCTAGCATGGGACAGAAAGGGTAAATTCCCAATTTACTAGCAATTCGGTTAAACAAAGTCTCTCCCCAAGTCCCTTTGCAAGTCCTTTCATAAGGTGCTTCGTAAGTAAAATGGTGAAATATGACAAAAAATGGAATGCTTCTCTCACAGTTATTTGAAAAATGAATACAAGTACACTATATATATGACAAGGATGACTTGTGAGTGACGGACTTGTGATGGACTTGCATACTGGAGAAAATTATGGCAATTGGGAGTAATCGCAGAATACCCCACCACTCTAAAAAATGACCCCTGAAATGACTGGTTACATGGGTACAAGGTGAAAATCCCTTGAAAAGAGTATGACATTTTGACCTGTACCTGCAGACCTGGCTAGGTTGACCATGGGGGGTGCAGGTGGCGGGGTATTCTGAAAACCTCATAAGGTAATACTTCATTAAAAAAACGACCTGTCACAGAAAAGGTCATGACATGCAACCATAGACCTGGAGTTGATTTTTTCCTCCAGGTCTACCGGCAGATGACAACAGACCTTATCGCAAATACCGATTGGGAGGCTATCGTTTAGGGCCTAATACTTAGTAATACTAATAGATAAAAAGAATAGTGGGAACGGAAAAGGGTCAAATCTCAAGCATGTTCCCTTCGATGGTGCTATTGCTTGGTTTCATGGATGGGCCTATGATCATGCACCTACCTGTCTCGCTTACGCTAAACGTTCAGCTGCAACGAAGTGAAGCGAACTGTAAACCTGTCCTGACCCAGGCCTACAAAAACCGTGAGGTAGATAGAGAAACCGCGGCACGGCAAACAATGTGGCGCAGATTAAGCTCAGGTCCACTGAATACTTTTGAATCGGATTTTGACTATTTGCGCCTGCAGTGTACGACAGGCAATCTCTCTCTGCCGACATTTCACGCACGTTATGTTTGTTGACATCGCCCTATCGTATCCCATGCGCGAATTAAGGATCGTACGATCACCGGTAATTACAAATAGCGCCCTCTCTTTTTCCACTCTTCTTTCAGGCACTTGCTTGGCACTTTTGAATACATGCAATCATGGAGAAAGGAAAACAGAATTTGTTGTCGCAAAACCCATCAAGTCATCTGATTATTGAATATATAACACATTCTTGCTATATCATGCTGCATTTCACTCAAATTATGTGTGGAGATTAAATTCCTTAACTGGCTGTTTAATTCCGTTTTTTCGTTTCCTTTTCATTTGTATTTATTTTCTGTTTAATTTATACAGGGTCGTCTTATCAGTTAAGCAAGTGCTTTGCCGTGTTGGGTAACACGGGTATTAATTGTCGTTAACACAACAAATACTAAAACACTAAAATTATTAAAAACATTTCAACATGTTAAATAATAAAATATGCAAAATAAGATCAAACGTAAAATCCTATAATTACTTTATCTGGTCAATATACAATTTGCCACTAAATTAGCTCTCATGAAAACAGTGAATGCCCATACCCCAATTTTACAAAATTGGAATAAAGTTTCTCAAGTGTCAAAAGCTCACTGTCTTTATTTTCTTATAGCGACTTTAGAAGATATTTCCGCTGTCCGAAGAGGATCTCCCCCAAATACTGTTCGAAAACAGAGAAATTTGGAGGGCCCCGAAGTTGTCAGTACGTTTTTTTTTCAGAACAAGCTGTGAT